GGTTTTTTCCGTCAAAGAAAAACCCCAATCGACCTCGACTGACATGGCCGAACTATGTCACACGCTTACACGATATCTTAGAGTTCGCAATGACCGTAGTCGGTCAAAAACCCCGCGTAGAAGCGCCTCACGTAAGCGATCTGGCTCTCGACCACGAGAGACAGACAATCCCGACTGGTGCTGGTATCATAACCAGTACGGTAAGTTTTCCAGAAACTGCAGGAAACCTTGTAATTATCCGACCCCAAAATCTAGTGACACGAAAAACAGTTCGGGAAACTTCCCAGCCGGCACGCGTTAACGGCAACCGTAGCCGGCGAACACAGCCGCCTCTTATATGTCACGGATGTGACTACGAAAGTTCGCTACCTCGTCGACACTGGCGCAGAAGTTAGCGTTCTTCCAGCAAATCTCGACGACAGACTTCGCGAGTCTGTTTTAAGTTTACAGGCGGCAAACGGAAAACCGATCGCTACTTACGGTAAAAGGTACGTCTACCTTAACGTGGGTTTACGTAAACCCATACACTGGATTTTCGTGGTTGCAGATGTCTCTATGCCAATCATTGGTATTGACCTGTTACAACACCACAATCTACTCATCGACACACGCTCACGAAGGTTAGTAGACGGAAACACTAAGTTGTCCGTTTGCGTAACTCCTTGTTCTGGTTGCAGGTTATCCCCAGTCACGATTAAGCACGCCATAGACCCCTTGTACCAAGCAGTACTCGACAAATACCCCGGGATATACCAATCGCAATCGAAATTACCTTGTGTAACCAGCAATGTTACACATCACATCTCGACTACAGGACCACCTGTATTTTCGAAAGCCCGAAGACTCGCTCCCGAAAAGCTTAGGTTAGCTAAAAACGAATTCAACCACATGATGGACCTAGGAATAATTCGACCATCGAATAGTCCATGGGCATCCCCATTGCATATGGTCCCTAAAAAGGACAGCAATGATTGGCGGCCAACTGGTGATTATCGGCGTCTGAATGCTAAAACCATTCCCGATCGTTACCCGCTGCCTCATATTCACGATTTGACAGCTACCTTGAAGGGTACAACTGTCTTTTCGAAAATCGACTTGGTTAAAGCTTATAACCAAATCCCGATGGCACCTGACGACATTCCTAAAACCGCCATCATCACTCCCTTCGGTCTTTACGAATTTCTACGAATGCCTTTTGGTTTAAGAAACGCGGCTCAAACCTTCCAAAGGTTTATAGACGACGTCTTCCGAGGTCTCAACTTCGTACATGCGTATGTTGATGACTGTCTAATAGCAAGTCCGGACAGAGAATCGCATCTCAAGCATCTGGACATTGTTTTCGATCGACTTCAAAGGCATGGCATTACTGTCAACATTCAGAAATGCCAAATCGGAACTAACTGCTTAGACTTCTTAGGACACACCATTGATGCCCAAGGCATCCGACCCCTTAGGAGCAAAGTGGCGGCCATTCTGGATTACCCAGAACCGACCACGATCAAGCAGTTACGAACTTTTAACGGACTCGTAAGTTTCTATAGACGGTTCATACCTAAATGCGCATCCCTAATGAAACCGTTGACCGATCAGCTTCGTGGAAATGCGAAATCAATTAGTTTAGACGACACAGCCCGTAAAGCATTTTCCACAGTTAAGGAACACATCGCTAAAGCAACCTTGCTTGCTCATCAGGACAGTCAAGCGCCCATTAGTATCGCCGTAGACGCATCCGACTCAGCAATCGGAGCAGTCTTACAACAATGGGTTAACAACTCGTGGCAACCTTTAGGATTTTTCTCGAGACGGTTGCTAGACGCTGAATCTAGGTACAGCACGTTCGGTAGGGAACTCCTAGCTATGTATTGTGCTGTACGGCATTTTCAACATTCCATCGAAGGAAGAGAATTCACGCTCTTTACCGATCACAAACCTCTTACCTTCTCTTTAAGTTCATCTTCAGACAAGTACTCACCAAGAGAGTCTCGACAACTCGACTACATTTCGCAGTTTACTTCAGACATACAACATATTTCTGGAGCAAACAATGTAGTCGCAGACGCCTTGTCTCGAATTAGCTCCTTGAACAGTTTCCAAGGAATCGACCTTCTTAAACTCGCTCAGCTTCAAAAAGAAGACATTGATCTTCAGCATGAGTTAGCCTCGACAACTCTTAAACTAAGTATTAGGCAGATGGGAACAGGTAAGGAAACCTTACTCTGTGACACATCTACAGGTAGGGATCGTCCGATTGTACCAAAACACTATCGCCGCAACGTCTTCAATACGTTGCACAATCTTTCTCATCCAGGTGCTCGTGCAACAATCGAACTTATAGCCGAACGCTTTTGTTGGCCTGGCATGAATAAAGACGTGAGGGAGTGGGCACGCTCCTGTGTAAGCTGTCAGAAATCTAAGGTAATCAGACACAACAAATGTCCCTTAGGTTCTTTCAAAACCCCTGACGCTCGATTCGACCACGTCCATCTAGATTTGGTAGGACCCTTACCCGACTCGAATGGATACTCATATCTCCTAACATGCGTAGACCGTTTTACTCGATGGCCAGAAGCAGTACCGATTAAGGACATTACTGCTGAAACAGTGGCTCGCACTTTCGTCGAACGATGGGTAGCAAATTTCGGCTGCCCTTCAACCATCACTACAGACCGCGGACGCCAGTTCGAATCTGGACTTTTCCGTTGTCTGACCACACTTTTAGGAATCACGCGCTTCCGAACGACCGCCTACCACCCACAAGCAAACGGGTTGGTAGAACGTTTTCATCGACAATTAAAAGCTTCATTATCAGCTTCAAACGTTTCACAGTGGACAGACGCTCTTCCACTCGTCTTGCTAGGTATCCGCAATGCAGTGAAAGCTGACATTGGATACACGGCATCTCAACTCGTTTACGGAACGACACTCCGACTCCCAGGAGAATTCGTGGATCCTTCAGCTTCTTCATTGAACATGGATCTAAACTCTTACACGAGTAGGCTTACAAACGCTATGCGTTCAGTTAAACCTGCTCACACTCGACCTCAATCAACTGATGTTTTCGTTCAACCCGAATTACGACATAGTACACACGTCTTCGTTCGTCGAGACTCACATCGACGACCCCTCGAATCAGCATACGAAGGACCCTTCAAAGTTCTTCAACGCGAACCTAAGTACTATGTAGTTGATAAGAACGGTACGAAAGATAGCATCAGTATCGATCGACTCAAAGCTGCGTACCTAGAAGGAAACCCTAGCTACGTCGATTTTCCTTCGGTACAAGCAAACGACACAGCTACTACACTCGTAGTACCCTACACGACAACCGACACACAACTTGATACTTCGTCAACGTTGATAGAAAAACCTAAAACAACGCGTTCTGGAAGACGAGTAAGATTTCCAGAACATCTTAACGAATATTGCACGTAGGACATAAGCTTTATCTTGAATTACCCTTTCATTGTTTATTATAAATTTTTTTAATATGCTCATTTTTTTTTATTTATAAAAAAAAACAAAACATTTTTATTATTTTTTTTTTGAGCGTATATATATATATATTAATATATTGAAAAAAAAACCTTTTTTCCGATCGCTTTTACGCTGTTTGTAAGTGTATCAGTTTATTTTTTCCCGCTCATCTTGTGTCCTTACGCAAGTACGAGTGTATTTTTGACATGCACTCACACGTTTTATTTTTCCTCTTTTCCAGGACGGCTGGAAAAGAACGACGAAGTTTCGCAAGGAACAGAAATTTTCATTGTACTATATTTCTTTATTGCTACGTTGTACATTTTGGTCCCATAGTTTAAGGAAAGACGACCAGACGCTGCTAAACGAAGCAAGCTATCAGAAGAGTGTTTACCAACGACAAATTCGTTGGGTTTAAACTTCTGGCTGGTCACGTCTTAGGGGCATCACTACCTCACTAGGGGGGGAGTGATCTGTAGCTGTAAATAATTCCCCAAAATCAATAGCTCATTAAGTGTTCGACATTGGATGCTGACCACGTTGTTTAAGTGGACTTGTTTAGCTGAAGGCTTTCGGTCATGCATCCGCACCAGATCACGTTTCAATACTGCGTGGGACACAGCTCCTACGTTTCATTAGCCAGCTCATAGAAAAGGTCCTCGATATATTGGTAACGAATCAAATATATCTTTCCTGCCTCTTCTCGTTTGACTTCTGATTTTCTATCTGACTGGTAACAACCGAATTTAGAAGGTGCTACTGGTATCTAGTTGTAAAACTAGAATATCCGTTGCATCATCATCAGCTTAGATTGATCACTCCTCGATATATCGATAGTCTATCAAACATATATTCGAACCTCTTCTCGTTTGACTTCTGATTTGACTGGGTTGGCCCGCTCCGATTACGGAAGATGTTACTGGTTAGTGTGTTGCCAAACTCGGAACACTTTCGACGTCTTTGATTTGTTACCTTAATTGGCATTTGGTCCTATTTTAATTTGTGGTTGTAAGTTACGAGTGGATCAATCGACTGCGCTTCAATATCAGGCGAAATCAAACCTTTGACGTAACTGATGCGAGGTGCATGACTTGTTCCCGGCAAATAATTCAAGCCTGAATGTTAGCTTTTAACACAAAGGAGTCTACTGTATAGGCACCTCCCTTCAGTCGTCGTAACAAACAAACCAAATGATGAAATCATGAAAGCTTCACCTTTGGTTCGGAAATCAACTAACTTGCCTAAATTATTTAGATTAAACGGCGTTCTGAGTATCAGTGAAACATACCACCTTTGATTTTGTCTTGTAGATGTAGCAGGTAGTAGTATTTTTCGACTGACTATAAGATCTGCCTGTTATCAAGATATAATAGATATAGTACGGTACGAATAACTTATATACCACTACTGCTAAATAGGCTTTGAGAGGTTTGCTATCACGAGTGGTTTGAGTTGATTTCCATCCTAACCAGGGTTCGAGAACCAGTATCAAATGTTTAACCGCACTTCACAACAACCTTCAGCAGCATTCATCTCAATAGTGGCATATTTGATATCTGGCGATACTATTTGTAGTGTGAATTTCTAATTACACTAGAACTTAACTTCACGCTGAATCATGGCTGTTACTCATAATCTTTTGGGGGTCACGAAAAATTTCACATAGCATCAATGGATTGCGAATTTTCGGAGGTTCTCAGTCTTCATGAAGCCTTAAGTATCAATCCTAGTACTTCGATTGAAAGTGAATCAACTTTAAACTGTCAAACACAGTCTGTGAGTAAACATGAGGAACTTAAAGACAGGGAGAAAGGTATTGGTGGATCATATGAATCAACAAAAGCTGGTTTAAGCTCATTCCCTCCCGACTCCGGCATTATCTCATCACTCCAAACGTCATGTGCACCAACAAACACTTTACAAGGACACTCATTTATCAGACGGACATTACACAAACCAGCATACTGTCATCATTGTGGTGAAGTTATATGGGGCATTCTAAGTAGTGGTTTTCAATGTGAAAGTAAGTAACTTGGTCTTTGAGATTAATATACTATACAAAATCACTGGACCCCTGCCGCTCTGCATTTTTAGTAAGCTATACCGCGATACAAACTGATTAGGAATTTGGAAGGCGGGACTATCATTTATGAACAACCTTTAAGCGACGCTAGGCTGACTTTGAGGACGTCCACTTAATAACTAGGACCAAATGGGGGTTATAAACTTGTGTGAGGGATTAGAATTATGATTTGAAGTTGATGTTTAAGGTTACAGATTAGATTTAGGGTTTTCATCACGAACTGACATCAGCTATATTGTCAAATGAATGAGCAAATTTCGAGACCTGTTATCTTATACCTGATTAGTTCATCCATAAATTATAGTCCCGCCAGTTGGGAGCCTAATGCTTGATGCAACTAGAAAGTTTAGACTGTTTATAATTGAGTGGATAGTTTTCAACCGGTCAATTATGCACAACATAGAACCTGGTTCATGAAAAATAATTCGAGTTGCTGCACTACATCAATACACTTAAATACCAAAGTAGCATATTTAGTAACAGTATCAGTGGCACGAAAAAACATGGTTTTGTGAGGCGAATTGGTTTTGTTTGGATAACTAGGAAACATGAGATCTGACGAAATACAAACAGTTAATGCACCTGGCCCAGTACGAACGGTTCTAAACCGTGCTGTCCAAGTCTTTAACCACTGGTTACGATCAAAGGGGCTTCTAATAAAGAATTCTGTATCTATCACAGTTCCGTAATACATCCAAACTATCTCATTTGATGAAGACTCACTACTTTATCAATCGGTTGGCTGCTCTTACGTATCGTTCTGAATCTAACTTAAGGGTTCCTCACTAGGTTATAATCTTCATTAGTACAGGGTTTTAAATGTTGGATTCTCATGTTTCATCTGTTTCGACCAGTATGGTAGAAGTTCTGGTGCTCAATGCTAGTTTGTTCTAAAAATAAACTAAATGTTTCATTTTGTCCATGCGAAAATTCAGCACAATTGTGATATGCTCTACATTTCTATGTCGGCTTAATCGTGATAGTTACTTAGGATGAAGACCAAATAGATTGGTATACCATTTAAAGTCAGTCATCGTGACGCATTCATTCTAAATCTCTCGAAATCTCGGGTGTCATTATATTACCCTGGATACTTAATTTTTGTTACTTCCTCTTCCATTTTTTTGCTCAACTTTCTGCTTCTGTTGATATTATTTGTTTTTGTCATCGCTGCTAATATAAATTGTGATAACACGGATCGTGTTGGGGTTTTACTACTTCCGTTCGAGTCAGACACCGATATTTTTCTAAACTGCATGTTCCTTTCTCCAAAACTCATACGACCAAACATCAATAAAAACAAATTTCAAGTGAGATTAATTCGTCTCTTAGGAGGAAAACTAAATACAGATTTTATCGTGTAGCTTTTCCTCAACAATATAGATAACCAGTTGTTAATGACATTTCTGATCTAAACTTTACCTCCCACCTAAGGTTTTGGTTACTGCGTATCGTTTAATGACCATAATATGCGGATATACACAGTTTACTATGATGGTTCACTTTCCATTGTTTACTTATGCTAGGTTTTACGTCTACTGTGCTAACGTCTTGTGGAGCGTAGGGTTTACTTTATTACTTTATTATAACGCAACATCAAATGATTATCGTATAGTTAATACGTGCATATTACTAATTCACGAGTCGAGGGGGCAAATCAGAGGAACCTAATGTTATGAGGGTCTAAAAATAGAGTTTAGTTGCTCAAAAAACGATCGACAACAATTTACACATGTTCTTTTGCTTGATTGGATGAGCAATTCTCTCACTTATTCCTAAATAAGTGGAGGTTGTATGACTGAAAAAGTATTTATGACTACTTTTGTTAGTAGACTGAGTTGCTCTACACATGTTCTAGCAAAACTGTAATTATTAGACATAATGTAAACAAAATACATTTCATGAGTTGAAGATTTAGAGCAATTGGTCACTTCGTCAATCAACGTAGAGCCCTGTACAAATGTGCGTTGCCCAAAGTCACCGTAATTAATCGTCACGAAGCGATGAGATTAACAAAATCGATAGAAAGGGAGTTAAAATAATGTAGAAATACTGATGTGGAGAATGACTAAACATTGAGAACATGGTTCTAGAAAGTGGAATGAGAAGCTGTGAATGAAAGACTACTTGAAATTTTGATATATAGGAAGATAGAGAGTGAATGCATCTACTCCGTTGTGACTGATTGTGAAGCATGTCACACAACGTATCTAACCACTGATCATGGTTACCCAAGTCAGGTAGTTTCCATCTATCAACATGACTAAGATTAACTGTCAGTGACTTTATGGAATAATGGTACGTTTTGATTTGGTAGACTCCTTTTAATAGTTAACTGATAGCATATCATTTTCGCGAACTACGTTGAAAGTTTGTTTACAATGCAAATACAAACATATCATTGCCTCATATATTGTGAATCGTTTACTAAGTCAAAGAGTCCAAAGATATACTCCAAGATTTATTTATATGAACACAAATATTGATAAAAGGGGGCACCAGACATGTATGCACCAAGAGCTTCAGCCTTTATCAATCCTATACAGTTGTTAGTGGCAACATGGTTTGTTTATGTTTATTAGTGTTGATGCTCGGGGGTAGGCTAGATAGTGTCGCTCCTTATGCTTAAAGTTTGAACTTGCCAGAAATGAGCGAATGTTTGAGCGTAATTGCAGGAGACAGTCACTTTTGTCTGTTCTTTGCGCTGGGATATCAAAAGATGTATCCAGGTGTTTTCAGTGGTAAAGCCAACTTCTACGATTACCACATCTGGACATCCGGATTACTGAAGGTGGTCACAAACCCTCCTGTTAAATTAGTCTTTTACTCTATCCGGGTTACAGTCAGTGGAGGCATAGGCGTAAATTACAAAGAGACAACCGTGTTTCCTTCTCTTTCTGAATTCTTACTATGAGATCTGGACAGATGTCAAATAAGCGATTGTTGATAGGGATCCAATAAAAGGATACCTGTTCTACTCTCGAACCTAGTGGTGTTCCTATAACGATAAGGCCACTATAAGTTTCTGGCAAATCTCCAGACTTACGAAGTGAGCTTAAGTTAATAATCATGTTAGGATTCTATATGAGCGTTTCGGAGACAGTGCACATAAGTAGCATGAGATTCTAAATGCTTATTTAGTGAGGATTTTTACCCTATTTGACTTAGGGTTTCAAGCATTAAAAGCTCAAACATGTGGTGAGAAGCACAGTTTCAGAAGATCTGAGATTTCATTTCGTGAACTCAAATCGTTAACACTAGAGCAACTCGGTAGAGAAATCAGAGATAGATTAAGGTTGGTGATGGGAATAGAAGAAATATTAGTGAAGCAATATCTTGGTTGTGAATGCCTTCTCGCGGCGGTAGTGTTGTTTATGAAATCGAGAGAACGACGAGCGATTTGTAGTAACGTTATTATCTTTCTCAACCTATGTTCACTATATTTGTTCTGGTCATTTATCTCACAATTTCATATCACTTATAAACTGATTCAAGTTAACACTTCATATTAGTCGCCCCAACATTAACGATTTGACTTGATTTTACATGACAAACAATCCTTAATTCACATGTTACAATTTTAAATGATGTACTCTGCCTTAAACCTGACCAGTTTTATGGACTATTGATTTGGATATATAATTGTAGAACCTGATGAGAAATTATTGAAAAAAAACATTCTTCATTCATATAATTCTACTTTAATATGATGGGAATTTTCCAGAGATCAAAAAGAGAAAAGAGACCATTAGAATAGAGGAGAACAATTTAATGTGGAAAAGTGTTAGTTTTAAATGTTTTTGATATTGCGAACAAAATCCTTTAAGATATATTCGATATGATCAGTGATGACCTAAAAGTGGTTTTAAATTCATATTTCAGGATGACTCCATTAGAATGTGTGGTATTTCGTAATGGCCTTTTTCATTCATATCAATATACTCTTTTATATATACATTGCATTTTAGTTTGCAACTTACTTGCACATGAACGTTGTCAAACCGTCGTGAGTTCTCCATGTACATCCGTCGCACCTCTTCAAATAAAGGTATGACCATTTTACTTAGTTTCATGGAAATTATTATGTAATTTCATGTTTTATGCTCGTTAAGTGTTCAGTGAGTCAAATATTTTACTTATCTATGAATCATTGGTTCGACATGTCTTCATATATATATATATATAATTTGGGACTTTTGGTAATCTATGTTTGTAAAGTTGTTTTTGTCATGTAGATTCACAAACTTACTTTTTTCATTTCTAGTCATATTTTGTTAATGTGTCCATATTGCAATATAATAGGATGAATTGATTTCCATGTATAGTGAGACTTTAGGTGTCTGAGATTTAGAATAATCCTTATGGTTTATAGTCCTGTTATTGTAGCGTGATCTGTTTTTCATATTGTTTAGTCTAATGATGCAATATATTTTTAGATAGAAGACATGTATCATATTTTGAAAAAAGTCTGCTTTAAATTTTTGTTGAATTTACAGTCTCCAGTATCTCATTGTTGGTCTGATGTGGGTCGGTTCAAACGGAAATTTTGCAATGTTTGTCGTAAGCGCTTGGAAGATAGCCTTTCTGTAAGATGTGAAGGTAAGACATTATGTATTTTCTAGTGTTCTTAATGCAAAAATTTCATGTTTGTGTGCTATACGTTTAACAACCTGCAGACAAGGTATTTACCTACAAGCATTGGTAATTCTTCTTGGTGTGTATGTGGTTTTTAAAACAATGTGAACACCCGATTTCTAAGGTATATAAAAATTCAAAATGCATATAACTTTGGCACTTTAAAAGCATCAATCAACCTGATATACCGTTAGATTATTGCTATTTATTTATTTATCTATTTGAACACAGACATTAATACTCGAAGGTATCAAATATATATGCGTCACACTTCGTCATTCGATTTGTGTAAGGGCTAGGATACTTCTCGGGCTCTCAAACCGTAGCACGTGGTCTTCTTAGGAGGTCACACCACGAGCCTTTAACCTAAAGGTCTAATCCACAAGGCAGTGGAGCAACATTAGGGGATGTAGTCCTATGGTAGCCAGTGGCCAACAATAGGTTCATACGCCATTTGTTCTCTCAGGATCCTGGAGCCCATGTGCACCATTGGTTTAGAATCAGGTTTTTCCAACTCCCTTAGGTCGATCCTCCGTACCCACCAACCCTGTTAAGGCACTGGACATTCGCTTGTCGTCCTCTCTATTTCATAAACCGCGAGAAGGCGGTGAGTAGGGCTTCTGTGGGAGTTGCTGTATACTCGTGGCCATATGGGAGTATTTCGAGAGGAAGTGCGTACTCTCTTCGCTCTCGGCCGTACCAGGGAATTCGATCCGAATATGGTAGTTTACTACTTACAGCACTGAAATTTACAAATTACTGGACCGGGTGAATTGATGTTTTTTATGTTTATGTTCCTATCTAGTTAATTTGATTATATAACTTGGGAACAATTTCTATGACTGCTCAACTTTATATACATGCTTATAAGTTGATGAACTACAATTATTTTGTGGCTCGTTTTCTCAAGCTTAGAAGTCCTTAATTCAATCCCACATACAATCGCAGGTATGAACTACTTAAAAGTCCGATATCAATATGGAACAACAGTTAAATACCCTCTACTTTTCGATGGTTCCCTAGTTGTTATCAATCCGTGACGAAGTTCTAACTCACAGCTAATTCGCACAAATCTTTCAACCAAATAGTTTATCTTCTATGAAAATAGAATATTTTGGGAGATAATTAGGTTTATTGTTTCCGCTAATATTAAGTTCCTTTTCTAATTATCTCTAATTTATAAATTGTCTTGAAGTGGCTAGTTATTGTTTTGCACAAATGATTGTTTGTTATTCTTGAAACTAAATCGATTCCGCGGTAACGAACGAAAGCCAATGACACAATGACACGATAAGCTATTCTAATCGGTTGTCCCAGGCCCCGCTAACTAGATGAAGAAGTTCAAGGCAAGTAGGGGAATATATATGTATTCCGTAAGCAGCCGAGTACAAGCAATCGAATAAGGGAAAAAGTCAAGCGCATTTATACAACAACAATTTGTCCTTGAGCATCATTGGTAAATAGCACACACAAAGAAACAATGGACCAATAGCGTTTAAGATAGTTTACAAGTGGGAAATATGACGTGAAGGTAAAAGAGCGCTTTTGGCGCGAAAACAGCCAAATTCAAATTTTCAAAATAAAATTACAAAACTAAGCCATTTACCAAGTAAGTTCTGGGGGTTTGACATCCCCAACATTGTTTTAATCTAAATGGTTTGTAAAATGATAGAGATAGTTAATTTGACATAACTTTCTGACTGGGTCATTTTTAGCACTGTTCTTTTTAAATGTATGCGGCTGGTAACTCCATGCCCAACCTCCCTTTACATGAGACTGTCTGTAACCCTGGGGGAAACTTCAGGCAGAGTTTTGTGAGAAACAGTGATGAAAAGTAGATAAAATAACTGTTTTCCTTTAATGTAAATTGCTTAACTGTAAACCAAATAAGTCAGCTTCTACTTATCACTTGCGAGTGAAATTTTCTCCGAATGTTACTGGATCGTTCTACATTTGTTTGGTTTTTCTGCCATTCCATTCTTAAAGAATCATTTCTTGTCTACTTCAAGGTAGAAACAATATTTATATTTTAAAAAAGATGTGTTATGACTATAAATTACAATGAATATAAGTTTAATCAATATTTTAAAATAATATTTTTCACTTATTTTTTACTCGCATAACTTAGTTTGTGAATATTATTGTCATGTGGATTGTCAAGATTATTCTATCAATGATTGTAAACAAGGTGCAATATGTTCACCAGGAAAACCTGTGGTGCGTTATTGTAGTGTAGATGTGGATGTGTGGGCTAGTAGATTATCTTCAGCATGCACACATATATTCCGTTTAGTGTTGTATGTATATCATGTCTTGAAAACTGAATGTTGTAATGTCTCCATGTCAGTTTTGAGTTCCTTTTACTTATATATATATATAGTGCTGCATGTTCGTTGGGCTATCAATAATGACATCCACATAATTTGGTTCATATTATATTTAAATATTACACCAGATTGTGTAAATTATTTTTAAAACGTATTTCTTGTCCTGTGTGGAGTTGCACGAGTTAGGTAAAAGATGGGAGTGATGGTCAGTTGGAATTGGTAAAATTAAGACAACGGTTGTACTTTCATATTACCTAACTTTCATGAAATTTGTTCAGAAAGGGAATTTGGTTATGTTGAATAATATCATGTTAATAAATTTTCTCATATTGTAAATGGTTATTGCCTTCTGCATTGTGTGTTTTCAAAATCATTATTTTATTCGAAAGAAATTCAAATTGTTTTTTGTAGGCATTTCATTCCAGTTTTATAACTGGAATAGTAGCTGTTTGGTAAATAAAGGAACTTGATAATTACAACAGAGTATACGATCTATCCTATGGAGCAGTGGCCTATATATATATATATATATATATATATATATATATATATATTCTGCTGACACTTTGTGCAAACTGAGTTTTAAATATAGTTATATGATTTGAATCACGTTAAAACAGTCGCGTTCAAAATCTTTAAAATCTTGTTTCACACTTTTTCCAAAACAATCCCAGACTTTTACATCTTAATCAAGAGACAGCAAATTATGACCAATTACTAATTTTTATTGATCACTTTATCAGTTTCGTTTTCATTTCTTACTAATACTTCTATGCCGTTAAGTAAACTTGATTCTTAGGAGTGACAGAAATTATTATCGTTACCTACACTTAAACAACTGTATTCAATATATATATCATGTATTCATCACAAAACTTCTATTTGTTGTCTCTTTTATCACATGTATAATTGCATCAGTCAGTCAGTCAGCTACAAACGTAGGACCAGGCACATATGTGCATCGGTCCGAGTTGCCATACCTCATTAGCGCAACAAGATGAACACCAAATTCATAGAAGTAGTTAATTCAACGGTGGTAATATATGAAAGAAAGATTGTATATAAGGATATAGTACGGGAAGAAAGACAGATATGAAGCAATTTTAATCACACGGTTTAAGGGAAGACAAAGAGTGTATACACCTGCGCCATTGTGATCAATTCTGAGCCATGTATAATTACTTATACTTATTCAGTGTTATTGGACACCACATTTTGTACTGTTTCACTAAAAACAGTTGGTATAATTATATGTACCTGATTTTTCTCTATTTGTCAGTATCTACCAACTACCAGAGCAATGTTGCATGTAACGTCATTGAATCTTATACCTTTTTAAAACATTTTTAGTTTAACTCCTAACTCCTAAAGTTATTAAATGGTCTACAAAACTTCTAGTTAAATAATAATATTAATAACATACTTGTCGGTGGCTAACTTTATGAAGAATTCTTAATGTTCTAGTAAGTTCAATTATATCGCGCAAGTGTCCGATTTGCATTACTTTATGACTGTGAAGCATATACTTTTAAAGTAGGAGTAGTTCGGAAGCTGCGGCTTTTTATTCGAAGCATTACTTACGTTTCATAAAACCATCGAGCGTTCAATTTTTAAGTTAAATGGGCGGTACTAGGCGAAGATGGCAAACTGGTTGATAAGGTTGTAAATCTTGGCCGACTGACGGGATTAAGACATATGTTATGTATTCCTAACCAGTACCCACGTTGACAAGTAATGATTTCTGGTGCGCTAATGGGTTGGGAGAAAGCTAGGGCCAGTTGAACTAAGACATAGTATCAATCCGCGAGGTCATTGACAGTTGGTCTGAGTCATGTTGATGGATGGAAACTACCTGACTTGGGTAACCGTGATCAGTGGTTAGATACGTTGTGTGACATGCTTCACAATCAGTCACAACGGAGTAGATGCATTCACTCTCTATCTTCCTATATATCAAAATTTCAAGTAGTCTTTCATTCACAGCTTCTCATTCCACTTTCTAGAACCATGTTCTCAATGTTTAGTCATTCTCCACATCAGTATTTCTACATTATTTTAACTCCCTTTCTATCGATTTTGTTAATCTCATCGCTTCGTGACGATTTATTACGGTGACTTTGGTTAGTGCATCTCTGTGTAGAATTGCACTATGCTGACTATGACTGACTGACAGCCATATCGATAGTGAGACAGATTTTGCTGACGATGTCTTCGGTATATCAAATTGAATGATGATGAACCTTTGAACTACTGTATGCAAACTCAGTGGTCTTAAGTTATTGTGGTCACCATGAAACCTGAAGGTCCTTGGTCTGGTATTTGGTGAAGCTTTATTTATGCACTTCAGAGGAGTCCAGAAGTAAGACAAAACAGTCATTTGGGGATCTGTAATTTTCAGAGTTTCTTTATTTGATGCCAGTTTGTGATAGGAACCTACTACGTATTACGAAATCTCCTCATGTACACGACTATACATGCTGTACTATTTTGGACAGTTTATTCAATTCTTCATTCAACGATTTCGATGGAGTCGTTTTGTTTAGCATATATTCCTGACAGAATTTCCTAAACCATTGTTACGTTATTTCGATAACTATTAACAGCATAATATTAAAGATCATACAAGCTTGTTAAGCAAAAATGAAAAATTGTATCTAAATTAGTGAAACTAGCATTAATTGGTTCTGATAAATTTAATCTTATTACGCTAATTAAATATCCAAATTCCATTAGTCATCTAAACATATGTCATCCGTAGCTGACCAGTTAACTTGTAATTTCGATTTCTCAACAAGTACATAATTATTTATCAGGTAAGCTGGTTGAAAGCATCCATTCCATATCACATTTTATCGAAGTGTAAACTGAGTAGTCAAATAATTTTGTTCTCTTTTCCGTTTGCTTTCCATCTTTAAATAACCTATTAGAGCATATATTCATCATAGGGATTCACCATAACCCGTATGCCATTAAGCTTATTAATCTTTATCAATAGACCTTTGAAGTAGTTTCACATGAATCATTAGGTAGATGTATTTGTAGTCATTCTTCAAACAACGTAGCAGATTGTAGTTCTTCAGTACAGTTGCTTGAAAATAGATAGTTACATTATATGATACTAATTTTAAAGATTATTATTTATCCTCCGAAATTTACTATTTCCACTTGTATATTAAATTCAATTAATAATATCGTTAAATCTCGGTCATACTTCTGTTTAACACCGCTTCAAACAGTTATTGTATTATTTTTAACGATTATCTTACATAACATATAGTCAACAGAATTTGATATATCCACAAAATCAGATACATTTAAAACATTTTGATTGATCTTCTTATATACATGATACTTTCTAGTATTTTTTTTTTTAATCCTAGCAGTGTAGTGTAATGAATTATTGTCACACATTGATTTACGCTAGTATTTCGTTTTATTAATTTATTTCATTACATGTGAAAGATTGTTTTAAAAGATTTATTTTCTCTTTCCAACTGTTTGCATAACCTACAAAAATGGATTAAAGATGTTATGAATATAGGTTTTAGTTTATCAAATGTTAGTATTAATACTCCAAATCGTCTTCCTACCTACATACACATTTACACTGAGACAGATTTTTTAATCGGTTATGTGGTTATTAACATTTTAAAGATAATGTATGGGTGATAGATAAATAAAGAACCCCGGTTAACATAGCTTACTAGCAATATAGTTCCAAACGTTTAGTTTTGACAATGCTTTTTCTACTAACTATCTCATTGCATGCTGGCGGTGTTTTAAACAGTCCTCAACCTGAGTGAGAAACAAATGATGTTTTCATTTAAATATTTGTTTTATTGTTCTTGAATTCTGTATATACTGTATGCTATATCTCTTTCCGTTGTCTCTTTTTTCATATTGAAAATGTCTAATTTCTAGTGAATTATTATTTTTTCATTATTTTATTCCGTCCCAAAAAAACAGTGTTCGCCGCGTCAAACTCATCACTGGAGGGAGGGGAATTTACCAACCAATTCCAAGTGTTTCATATGTCGTAAGACATGCTGGTCATCTGAATGTCTTACAGGTTATCGTTGTCAATGGTGCGGTAGAACTGTGAGTTGTACTACTTCAATATCAATATTTATACCGCTTACCTTGTATTAGTTGTCGTAGGCACATAGATAAATATCAATGATTTACGATATTAGAAAAACGGTAAAGTAATTGTACTTATCAGTCTAAATACGTATGTGGATATTTGTTACTTTTATGCTTAAACTCTTTAAGCTGTTCAGATATTTCTTTAATCAATTAGATCGTGGATATTGATTCAGTTCGGAGATAGTTTTGTCACGAGCTGGTGTTATCTTGATAGATATCACCGCCAATTGGCACAAAATATGACTAAATACTGTATACTCCCGTTTTATTGATTGTTAAAAAAATAAAAATGACTAATTATACACTTGACAAAGATTAAGAATGAGTTTTTATCGTCAGTAATGTTTGTATTATATCTCTATCTGGTAAGAGAAGAGGATAGTACACTATAATGAGGTTTATTATCATCAAGTGGTTTCAGTACAATGAAATCATTAAGGATCATGATATATCCACATGGGAAAATGAACTAATGGGAAAAAATCGGAGTATTATTGTTTTTCTTATTTTTTTAAAAATTAACTCGAGTTACTAATATTATGTCCACAGTCATGTCTACTACATATCAACTAAACACGATCGGGTTAAATTTATTCCTTTCATAAGATTGATTTCTTAAATAGCCTGTTTTATCAACCATGAACTGTGAAGGGTAATATTGTATGCAGCTTTCGGAGTCCATTATATTTAATCATTCCACCTGAAAATAGGAACATTGGGGACGGGAACCAGTCTATTGCTAGTGTAACTCAATACGACGTCCAAAAGGAGATCTTGCCTTCATTATACTCTGATTTCTTACAAAATGCTCGGTCTTGTCACCTTATTTATATCTTAGGTTTTTTCGAATCATCATTCCAACTAGTTTAACCTTACGAGGTTGTAATAAATTGCTGAAATCGTAGGGTTGCTTGAGAAGTATTACAATTTGTGTAGCTCGTAATTTTACTGAGGGGAGATCACAATTTTTCAAACTACCGACGTTGCATATTATGAGTAAATGAATTCTGATATTAATCTTTATTTATTAGTCACTTCTTTAGTAATATATAGCAATCATTAAGATTAGTTTTATTGGTACATATTCCAAAAATACTATAAATATTGCCAATTTTGTATAAATTTTCTATAATTCAGAGTCATGCAGGATGTATAGAGAAAGTGGAAGATGAATGTGATTTCGGTCCCTTACGAGATATCATGTTACCGTCATTCTGTGTTAGTCTTCCACGAATGAATATTCCTATTGAACATGTGATCGGTGTAACTAAACGTCCACGAGGTTAGTTGTTTTGCTTTTTTCTAACTAACTATTTAAACAAGTCAGTCATCCTGAGGAACTAAAAGGATTTTCTATTTCTTAATATTGCATTCATTCAATCTGACTCTTACTTTAGTCACAGGGTTTTAGTTTGATAGTTTAGTTATTTGATATTCAGTCATACAACTTATAACCCATATCTTTGTTGCATTTATCTGGATTCAAGTCAGCGGGTAGTATCATTCAGTCTGATATATTTTTTCTGTGGCCTAGGATTAACTAATAATATCAAGTTTCGTATGGTATTATATATATATATATATATATATATATATATATATATATATATATATATATATATAATTTTAATAGTTGAGATCATGAATCAACTATTAAAATTACTTTAATATCCACAAAACCCCTTCTGATATATACGTCCTCAAAAATAGGGTGATTAAAAATTTAAGTTTGTGGAGTTGTATGATAAATAAATCGCATTGATAGACCATTAAGGCACATCCTATTATAATGTATGGTACTGTTAAAATTTCATTATTATTTTTTTAGGCAAGGAGAATCACGACAAAATATAAACAACTTTAGAAATTTAATATAATCTCTATCTTCTGTATTTGTTTATATCTGTACCTTACACCGAAATTGCATTGAAAATTGATATTCGTTTGTCATTTGTATCACAAATGTTCAACACAATTGAAGATAGTTATGAGCATCAGTTTGTGATTGATTCTTTTTGGGTATTATTAAGGACTTATGGCTTGAAATTTTAGATGGTTAATAAGTTATATTAATTGGCCATAGATGATGGTTTGTGGTGCTTTGATTCACTTTGCTGATATGAATTTATCATATGATAGATTGACTTTGGTCAATTTTTCAAGGTATTTATGCATCATTGATTGAATTCAGTCCAACTAATAACTTCAATTTCTGTTTTCTTTCAGGTCGAGCTATTTCAGCTGATTGGTCAAGCAGTGGGGAAAGCAAAGAGGATAGTTGGCAAGATACACGATCTCCAAGAGAAACTATAGACCGTGCTAGTAGTGATGGTAAGAATAAGTTGTTGTTGTTGCTAGATCTATGTTTCATTGTATTCGATGCTTGTCAGAAAGGTGTACCTACAGTCTACTTGTTGTTAGATTCATTCATAGTGATTACACTAAGCGTTTGTCATAAAAGTTTACTATGTCACGCTTTCATGTCACTATTTGATTTGTTTAGCATGAAAAATGTTTCAAAAGAATATACTGGAATAATCTAAAAGAGATTGATAACAGTAAACGGGGAAAAGGTATATATACATATATATATATATATATATATAGAGAGAGAGAGAGAGAGAGTAATGTGATCAAGTATAAATTCATTTAGCCCATTTCAACCGATACTAAATCACATCACTTAGACTAAGTCACCTGCGCATTTGTGTTGATTAACATTTCCCCAACATTATCATATATTTCGAAATTTCTCATTTGTCTTGAAAATCGAGTCAATGCATCAACACACATTAGTTGTATTTATGTTTCCTGGATGGTTAATTTGATCTCATATAAAATCTATTTTCAGATAAAGACGCTATCAAAGTTGTACGTTCATCATTGGAGGTTATATCAGAAATTGAGACTGCTTTCAAATTGATACTTTCTATTGATTGCTGTCATAAGATAACTGTAATCCATATTACAGACAAAAAATTCCTCTTGTCGACATTTCATATTACAACTTTGCAATTTTTTTTCAATCCCTTACCAGAATATGTATGTGTATTCGATGGCGTTGGAGCTTTAAAGAGACGTTCATGTCGAAGTTTCAGTTTTTCCAAATCCATGTCTACATATTCGGCAGTTAAACGGTTTTTGAAAACATTTCATTTAGCTGGTACGCCTGATTATTACAATGTGTATGAAGTTAATGAACATGGTATGTCATTGCTATTTTGTTCAGAACGAAACTTATATTTTCTGTTCTTCTGGTTATATATTGTTTGCTTTGTTATATGTGTCCCGTTGGCAATTTTCAAATCTAGTTTGGAGAATATTTGTAATATCTATAGTTATCTTGCTTAAGGGAATGTAAGTGAGAAGAAACCAACGGTTGATCTTAAATAATCGTTCATTAAATTATCTCATCTGACTTCTTCTGTACAAGAAGCCTGATTGAATCTTTCAACATTTCTATATTATTCAGAATTGACCCTGTAAATCAGTATTTGAATGGGGGGGGGTGATCAAGCGCTTTAACCACTGCCTTGGTGTTCCCTTAAATCAAATTAAAGTACACACGTACTTTTAACATGAAAATTTTCAGCTTTGTTAGATACTTTTTGATCATTTCATGTAGACATAATTAATGTCTGTCAATAAGTTGTGTAATAAATATTTTTAAAATGAGTACTTTCAAAGGGTATATTCTATTGTTTCCACTAAAGTGATTAACCCTATGATATATAGCTGTTTAAGAATTACCAGAAATATTCGGTATTTTTATATTTCTATGAACTTATTTTACTACGTAATTTTCTGATTATGTAAATATTTGATTTGCAAAAAAACCCCGTACAACCATCTTGTAATTATGTTCGACATACGTGCATAGTAAAATGTTAGTGTTGTTACTGATATGAGACTATAACGTTGTCTTGCTTCTACAATTTATATTTATTATTAAAAAGAAAGCAGCTTCAGTTTATTGTTTCTAGTGAATTACTTAGTTGATTAATATATTTTGTTTTTATCACAGAAGTTCGGTACTCGAATAATATATGTTAAGTTGCTTCTTTTTTCTTATACTCTTCGGTTATATTTGTCTACGGAACAGTTGTTTGTGTGGTACACGTACTAATTTTTCAATAATCATTGATAAGCTGTATGTGATTCGTTTAAAACAATGTTGATATAGTCTCTTTACATTACTTTTTATTTCATTTTTTTAAAAGTGAAATAATAGTGATCGTGTTAACCTGTAGCTGTAGCCTGTAGCTCTTCTAGAGTTACTGCCGGTCCCAAGCCCGGGTAAAGGAGGAGGGTTGGGCATGGGGTTAGCGACCTCATCCCGTAGAAAAGCTAACTCGCTAAAAAAACGCTAACCAGAAAAAATAATTCAAACCATTTAAACTCTGCCCTGGGAGTAGAAGGAATAATTATGACGTCTCATGATGAAAGCCGAAATTCTTCGGAAGGCACGAGACCGATGCACCTCCTAACAACCAGAGCAACACTCTTTATAGGTACATGGAACGTCCGGACAATGTGGGAGACAGGAAAAACCAGCCAGGAGAGATGCTGCTGTACTCCGGTCACGAAGGGGAAAATGCTCCACATACTCAGGGAGTTGCTCTAATTCTGTCCAAAGAAGCACGAAATGCACTTGTGGGATGGGAATCTCATGGATCCAGGATAATCAAAGCATCACTCAGGACAAAGAATCAAGGGATCACAATGAATGTTATCCAATGTTATGCACCCACCAATGATAGCAACGACGATGATAATGATCAGTTCTATGAAAGGCTGCAATCAATTATAGCGAAGTGCTCACGAAAGGACCTCACAATCCTGATGGGAGATCTAAATGCTAAAGTTGGAATGGACAACACGGGACATGAAGATTTAATTGGACGACATGGATTAGGAGAGAGAAATGAAAATGGGGAGAGACTTGCAAACCTATGTGCATTCAACAAATTGGTTATAGGCGGCACAATATTCCCACACAAGCGCATACGCAAAGCTACATGGATCTCACTAGACCACACCACAGAGAACCAGATAGATCGTATTTGTACCAATAAAAAATTCCGAAGAACAATTGAAGATGTGAGAACCAGGAGAGGAGCAGACATAGCTTCAGATCACCACCTGGTTGTGGCCAAGATGACACTGAAGCTAAAGAAACACTGGACAACTGGAAATACAGCACTACAAAGGTTTAATACAGCCTTCATTCGAGATACTGACAAGTTCAACGAATTCAATATAACTCTCAACAACAGGTTCCAAGCTCTACAGGATCTACTGAAAGAACAAGAATCTACGATGGAGGACAACTGGAAAGGGATAAAAGAAACACAAACTTCAACGTGTCAGGAGGCTCTGGGTCCTATAAAGCACTATCATAAGGAATGGATCTCTATAGGAACCCTAGACAAGATTAAAGAAAGGAAGAACAAGAAGACAGCAATTAACAACAGTCGAACACGAGCACAGAAAGTCAAGGCACAAGCAGACTACGCAGAAGCAAACAGGGAAGTGAAGAAAAGCATTAAAGCCGACAAGCAGAAATACATGGGAGAACTAGCAACGGCGGCGGAAAAAGCTGCAAGAGAAGGGAATATGAGACAACTATATGATAAAACGAAGAAATTGGCAGGGAGATATAGCAAACCAGAGAGACCAGTCAAGGACAAAGAAGGAAAGACAATCACTGAGATTCAAGAACAGAGGAAAAAATGGCCAGAATGCTTTGAGGAACTGCTGAATAGACCAGCCCCATTGAATCCACCGAACATCGAAGCAGCCCACACTGACCTTCCAATAGATATCACTCCACCAACGATCGAAGAAGTCAAGATGGCCATCAGACAAATCAAAAGTGGGAAGGCGGCAGGACCTGACAATATACCAGCAGAAGCACTGAAGTCAGACATTGAAATAACTGTAAACATGCTTCACCTTCTATTCAAGAAGATTTGGGAAAAGGAACAAGTGCCAACGGACTGGAAAGAAGGATATCTCATCAAGATACCGAAGAAATGAGATCTGAGCCAATGTGAGAACTACAGAGACATCAGTTTGTTATCAGTAGCAGAAAAAGTTTTCAACAGAGTGCTGCTAAGTCGGATGAAAGACGCAGTAGACGCCGAACTTAGGGATCAACAGGCTGGATTCCGTAAGGATAGGTCATGCACAGACCAGATTGCGACACTACAGATCATAGTGGAACAATCAGTTGAGTGGAACTCATCACTATACGTCAACTTCATCGACTGTGAGAAGGCGTTTGACAGCGTGGATAGGAGAACACTATGGAAACTTCTTCGACACTATGGAGTTCCTGAAAAGATTGTCAACATTATCCAAAACTCATACGATGGACTACAGTGCAAAGTCATGCATGGAGGACAGCTGACAGATGCATTTCCAGTAAGGACCGGAGTCAGACAATGCTGTCTACTCTCCCCATTCCTCTTCCTTCTAGTGATTGACTGGATTATGAAGAATTCGATATCTGAAAGGAAATACGGAATACAATGGACTTCTCAGAATCAATTAGATGATTTGGAATTCGCAGATGACCTAGCCCTCCTCTCTCATACACACGAACAAATGCAGATGAAGACAGCAAATGTAGCAGCAGCCTCCATGTCGATAGCCCTCCACATTCACAAAGGAAAAAGCAAGATTCTCAAATGCAACACGGAGAACACCAACCCAATCACACTTGATGGCGAAACTCTGGAAGAGGTGGAAACATTCAAGTACCTGGGGAGCATTGTTGATAAACAAGGAGGATCGGATGCAGATGTAAAGTCGAGGATTGGCAAAGCAAGGGCAGCATTTCTACAATCGAAGAACATATGAAACTCAAAACAACTCTCAACCAATTTCAAGGTCAGAATCTTTAATACGAACGTCAAGACAGTCCTACTGTATGGAACTGAAACGTGGAGAACTACTACGACCATCATCAGGAAGGTACAAGTATTTATAAACAGTTGTCTACGCAAAATACTCAACATTCATTGGCCGGATACCATCAGCAGCAGCCTTCTGTGGAAGAGGACAAACCAGCTTCCAGCTGAAGAGGAAATAAGGAAAAGACGTTGGAAGTGGATCTGACATACATCAAGGAAACCACCAATGTGCATCACGACTCAATCCCTAACTTGGAATCCGGAAGGGAGGCGGAAAAGAGGAAGGCCAAAGAACACACTACGTCGGAAAATAGAAGCCGATATGAAAAGGATGAATGTTGACTGGAAAGAACTGGAAAGGAAGGCTCAGGACAGAGTTAGATGGAGAATGCTGGTGAGCGGCCTATGCTCCTCGACGAGGGGTAACAGGCGTAAGTAAGTAAGTGTTAACCTGTCCTGTACATATATCTAAAATAAATGGTGGATATCTAGTACAATATTAATAATAATAATAATAATAATAATAATAATAATAATAATAATAATAATAATAATAATGGAAAGTTTTATTCTCATAGATATATATATTTCTAATATTACATTCTATGCTTCTATTTGTATTCTTTATAGATGTTGATTTTGCATAATCTCTAATGCATCTACATAAATTAATGTAATATAAAAAGAAGCATAACGCATTATTTCTGACTGTCACATTTCATATCAATATAGTGAAAAGGAAACAGTGTGATGATTAGATGGAGAAAAGGGAGAGAATTGAGAGAAATGAGTTAATAGCATTTGAATTAGAAACTGTTTAGTAGAATATACGAGGGAATACAACTATATGACATTTAATGTAATGAGTTAACTAAGTACATATTCGTGTAGTCGAGTTTGAGTTTCGTTTTATTTACGAGCATCAGTGATAAAACCATATTATGCAAACTTAAATAGATAAAATAATATTCAAACCTGAAAATTGTAAACACTAAACCATCCCTCAATGCAATTATGTTACTAGTATCCTACATTCCTAGTAGCGTTACTCTGTACATCGTGAACAATGGATATGTTTTTGTGATCATAGTTATTTGTCGTTGGTTTATATATTCTCAATCCATAATGATTGGATTATTATTGGAAGCAAGCAGTACTAAAATAATTATGCAAGTTTTATTCGGGATTTCACGTTCATACCATGTCTAAATTCATTTTAACTTTTTCTCTCTTTTTTGTATAGATGGAACTGAAAACAAACTTAATTATCATGTAAATCTTCGTAGTCAATTGAGATTTGATTTAAAACAACCTTCCATATTGATTCGATCTAAAGAACCGGAGGAATCAACGATTACCATTAAAGTGTACGCTGGGGATTTACGGTGCGTTTCAAAGTGTTACAAATCCAAGTTTAGAACCCGTTTAATTCTTTATTCTTCATTCGTTTGGTGATATAAGTTTAATTATAGTGGTCCAAATCTCACTTATTATGTAAACTCATCAATATGTGGTTGTCCTAATTTAAAGAAATAGAATAAGATTTTATGATTTGTCCACTAATTAATATTAGCTTCTTTTAACGAATTTGCATAAAAATGAAACACTTGATCGAGTTAATTATACCTTCATATGTGAGAAAACAACAGTGTGGGAAATTGTTTTTGCCATAAGTCAGTATAAATATTTCGGAAAACTTTTCCATATTTACATTTGGATATAGTAGATTAAAACAATAATAATCTGTTTTTGTTTATATTTTTATCTTTTGTCTCTTCCCTCTAGTGTATTCTTCGATTTGAATACTCTATTTATGCATTGTATAGTTTTGAGTAATAAATCGTGTTTTTAAGACTCAAAAATAGAAAACTTAAACCTTTAGTTCTTAGGTAATGACAAAAGTAACACCTTAATCATTAAATCATAGAAACTTAATATAAGCCCACTAATAGGTTAAAACTTTATTTTCAGATCAGTTTGTTACGAAAGAACACTAAATAAGATCAATGTTATATACTAGAGAAACGTGTCTCACTTGTGTATTTTTTTTATTTGGCTTTAAATCAAACCTATTATTGTTCAACGGTGGTGTTTGGCAACTTTTGCTGTATCCCCATTTCTAACAGGATCTACTTTACTCATCTAGAGTGGTGTATCAACATTTTGTTGCGTATTCATAATGACTACTTTTTCTTTCCTCTTTCTCTTACATTATAAAATTATCGGTTTTATTTTGTCATTTAATCATTACTTCTTCGTTATTGACTTGATATGAAGTACTTTGGTGTTTTGCTCTCTACTCTCAGTGGTTTAATTTAAGAACGTTCGTTGTCGCTCTGGACAACATCATCGTCTGTTACACGTAGAAATGAGCTTTTTCGGTGATTCTGCAAGTCCTTGTTTTGATGGTTTTCTTTCCACTTAGTTGTCTTCTTAGGTACTGTTATTCTCAGTTGTTTTTGCATTTATTTTGATTGTCATTTTCGGCTGACCTCCTACTCTATGATTAATTGATCTCTGCCGTATAAATTGATATGTTAATATGTCTCCAGATTGATAATTGATCTGGATGACATACTTCTATAAATCTTGTGACATTCTTATATTTCCTTTTATCCAAAATTTCAACGTCGCTCTAATTAAATTCGTGTTCGTGATTCTCCACGTGCATTGGTATCAGTGATAAAATATCATATCATCCCGCTCCTAATCTGTGTTCATTTTCACGACCACCTCAGTCGACGAACATTCATAATCCCTCCGAATGATTGCTCATCTATGCTTCGTATCCTGTATTTAACTTCAACATTACTTACCCAGTCGTTCCGTGATATGCGAGAAATGCTTCAAAGACATATATGAATTAAAATTTACAGTCTACACGTTTCTTTCTCTTTCAAAGACCATTTTTCACAGCCATGAAGTAATACAGAGTGGAATTCTGCACAATTTACTCGTCCTTTTATTGGAAAACGAAAATCTCCACTTCTCCACCAATGGCGTAAAGTGGTCAAAGCCAACCGAGCTTTGTGAATCTGTGTCGAGATTTAATCAGAGACTGGCCCACTAAAGTTGATTATGCTTTCAAGATAAACGAAATAATACATCTGCTCATCTATTTCATTGTGTCATTTGTTTAGTATTTACTAACGCAGACCAGTCCTGAAGCGAAATTTCGGATTTAGAGGGATAAAAACATCCAAATTATGCTTGCATTATTAATCAGGGCGTTCAGAATACTCTAGATCGCTTAAAATACATGCATTAAAAATATTTAGTCGTTATCTCTTATATAATTTAAATTTTCTTTCGTAATAACTGAAATGAAAATTTCTTATGAGCATGTCTATAATTTAGGCTTTCGTGTGATGTTCCTAATGTTGGTTAGTATTTACGTATGACACTAATTCCTAATCAAAAAGGGATGTGCATTATGCACCCTCAAGAACTGTTATCTCGATCTTTACGTCTTCCATATTGTTGGAGCTTTCTATTTTTTTATGGATTAGATTGCTGAGTAAAATATTGTATTAAAAACTCCATGCCGAGTTTCATTATAAAGAAGATTGAATCACTATTTATATGTATTTACTTCATTATGTCCAATTTATTGTATGCTATCATTTATCCCAAATATATACATATGACTATCACCTAGGATACAGGATTTAATTAAAATATTTTGATATATTTCACTTATTAAGTTGTATATGATTAAAAGTAGCATTAAACTTAATATAATATTGTGATATGTTTTGATTTGTATTTTGGATCAAACCTTTTCTCCAGTTGTCCTTATGACACACTCTTAATTCATTTTTGTACTCGCACAATTTATTAGCTCTTTAATACCCTCAAAAAATTTCTTGTTACAGTTTACTACTTGCTCCTTATGTACCGCCATATGAAGAGGTGACTATTAATTCAGAAACTACTGCATCCAAAGTGGTTGCAATGGCTTTGAATAATTTTGGTTGTGGAGTAAGTTGACATTCAAGATAATGTGAAGTTACTTGTTGTTAAGTTGTTTTAAAAATTAGAATCTTGTTAAGTTTATAATTACTATTGAAATCAAATAAAAAGCTTTTTTTCACTTAAGTTGTCTGTCCTTATTGTTAAATAGTCCACCAAGTCAGTTGTTTTTTGTTAAAAGGTATTATTACACAAACATTCTGAGCTTACTTAAGTTGGTGTTTAGCTGTGTGCGTAATTCCAAGCGTTAAAAATTATTTGATTGATTTAAGTATTATACATTTTCTTGGAATTTTTGTCAGGATGTCGTATTTAGGGAAAAGGAAAGTTTAAAAAAACTAACTTTTTTAAATTTGTAGCGAAGAATTTTCTTATCCGTTGAATTTATACTGTGAAATGAGAATGGATTTGTTATGCTGATTGAAAAAATCTTTCAAATCATTAAAAAAAATTTATTCTTATGTGTATGATGACCTCTTCAAGAGTGTATCAATCAAGCATAACTAACTGTTTTAATGATTTTTTTGAATTTGGCTCCCATTTACCGGAAGAAAAGCTGAAATCTTCATTTCATCAAGCATTATTTGAGTGGATGAGTAGTTTAACCTTCTCTCATTTCACAGTCGTTACTTACAGCTTAGTACTTGAAGCAGTAATCAGTCATTAAGTTGAATTTTTTATCTAAGAATAGTAGTTCAACTTTTGCTCAACTTAAATATAAAATAAACTATTCTGACTAGAATATTTCTCAAATATAATTCTCATTAGATTCTAAAAAGTTTGATAAATTGAGTTAGATATATTAACACTTTGCATAAACAAGTATATTTTCTTCTAATCCACATAATGCGGTGACTATATCATTGTAGCGTTTAGCTTTCAATCATCAGGTTACTGCTTCAGACCCTTTTCTACTCTTTTGTTTTGAGAAGCTAAATAGTCTGACTAGTCCTTACATAGAGAAATCGTAACTTTAACTGTAGTACATAAGTATTTAATTAGCAAATAACTTACATCATATGGTAATTTTCCAAGATAGTTTTGAGATGTAATTCGGTTTATATATATATATATATATATATATATATATATATACTCATTATAAATCTTTTGTGTGTTTTTCTTTAGCACATGAACCCAGATGACTGTTACTTAAGCAGTGTTTGTGTTGATCGTACAGTTAGTGAACAATTATTAAATAAAGATGATCGTCCAATGCTACTACTTGATCAGTTACGTGAAGAATCAGCTAGAATATCACAATTTACTCGATTCGAATTACGTTTTGTTGAAGATCCCCCTATCAGTCCTAGTGTCTCCTTGTTTGTAGGTAATCTTAAAGAAAATCTATCACAACGATTATATGAACGTGTATTATTAGACAAATTAGGTGAAAAATGTCGTTGGGATTCAATTGAAGTAATATATTATGAAAGTGGTTGTCTTGTTTTAAATTATCACTCAAGTGAAAAAGCTGAACAAGCTTATGAATTACTAAATGTAAGTTATTAATTTTTTACAAATCAATTCCACCTTTTTATTTATTTATCATTTTCATTGAAATCGTGAAAGGGTTTAAATTAGATTATTAAAAACCTGGAAGTACAGACAGCCATTTCTTCCTAGAATGGGACTCCTCAGGACGAAGCGGTCGTCCAATGCTTCTAAGTTTTTAATAATGGTCTGACTTGGATCCGTTCATGATTTCCATGAAAGTCAACAATTTCCACAATCCGTTACTGAATATTTATAATTCTTTTTATATGGTCTGTTTCCGCTTTGGTGAAATCCTTTCGAAGCTGCTTTTAGTCGGCATGTAAATATTTCAAAATCTGTTTTATGAAAGACTAACAGATATTTATAAAGCCTTTCGAAATGGTGGGCGAATAGAGAAGTAAAAATTTTAAGAGGCACAGTCAGTCAGTCATAAGCAATTTAGAACCTGACTTATTGTGCACCTGGATAGCGTTTTTTGGCAAGGTTGTTTTCTGCGGGATTTTGTTGATGGACCCCATGCACAACTCACCTTTACCCTGGCTTGGGGCTGGCAATAACTCTGGAAGAGCTACAGGCAGAGTTAAGGAGGCGATCTTCACGCGTCAGCCAGATTGTCACATGGACATCATTTGCAATCTCTTTCCCGCACCACGCGAGGGATTTCGTCCGGTGGGTTTCCCCCTGGGCCGGTGTGCCCCTCCTTGGACGATCTTGACAACCCTACCGACATGTCATCCAGCTTGGACGCCCGATCATCATGAACACCCATATGCCGGTACTTGCGGTCCCGCGAAATCCCTCACCCTGGCCTCTAAGTATCCAGACTACGGGCGGACGCCACCACAGACTACACTGCAAAGTCGTTTATGGAGAACAACTGACAGATGCATTCTAAGTGAGGGCCGGTGTCACACTAGGCTGCTTACTCTCTCTCTCCTGGTGGTTGACTGGATTTTGAAGACCTCCATATCTGTGACAAAGCACAAAATAAAATGGACAGTTTGAATGCAACTAGACGATTTGAACTTCACAAATAACCTTGTCCTTCTATCCCATGCACACGAACAAAAGACAACCGGTGTGACAGAAGCTTCTGCATCAGTAGGCATTAACATATACAAGGGAAAAATCAGGATCGTTAAATACAACACAGAGAACACCAATCAACCCAATCACATTTGATGGAGGAACTCTAGAGCAAGTGAAATCTTTCACGTACCTGGAAAACATCATCGATGAAGAAGGATTATTTATTTATTTAAACACATATATATTGGTACAAAAGGGCACCAGGTACATATGCGCCACACAAAATAATGAAAGTAGGAAGAGAAGGGATGAAAAGATAAGGCGGACTGAAATGTACAACCAGAAGACACTTTCAGTTAGGAAAGTTAGAACCATTCTTTATGTAGAAAGTAAAAGAAGGTTGCAGCAGGATCGCCACTGGCTTCTATTCTGAGCCATATCTGATAAGGTCTCTAGCCACTGTGTTGCACCATCTCTCGGACCCCAACCAGGGAGTCGTGAAGGACCAACAGAAGCTAGCCCTTTGCAGCTTTCTTTCATGCCACGACACCATGTCATACACTGACCTCCTCTCCGCTTTTTCCAAACAGTCCGAGTCGGCAAATAATGCACGACGTGCAAGTCTCTGGGACGACATTCGTAAAACATGTCCGAGCCACCGAAGTCGGTGTTTCAAGATGGTGACACCAATTGAATTATCGTCTCTGTGCCCGAACACACGATGCCGAACCTCTGCGTTACTAACATGGTGTTGCCACTGGATGTCAGCAATCCTTCGGAGACAACGATGATCGAACACAGAGAGACGTCTAACATCCTCAACTCGGAGAGGCCAGGTTTCACAAGCATAGAGCAAAACTGCTCTCACCGACGCGTTGTAGATCCGACCTTTTACAGCCAGACTAACATCACGAAGGCGCCAAAGATGGCCCAGATTGGCATAAGCCGCTCTGGCTTTCATTATACGTGCATCAATCTCATCACTCACGCCACCACCAGCACTTATATAGCTACCTAGATACACGAACTTCTCAACTACTTCGATCTCCTCGCCATCCAGGGTGAGTACAGGATTAGAATCCTGCCAGTCTTGTAGGAGTACTTTGCACTTGGAGGGTGCAAAGCACATGCCGTACCTGCGGACACTGATTGCCAACTGATTAAGTGCTGATTGCATGCCTTGGGCATTATCGCACAGTAAGACAATATCATCCGCATTCTCAAGGTCGAGAAGTCGTTCTTCAGGCAACATATCCACACCGCCATTACTTACATCCACCAGAGCTGTTTCCAGGATGTCGTCGATGGCAAAGTTGAAGAGGAATGGTGAGATCGGGCAACCCTGCCTAACCCCACTGCTCGAATGGAACAAGGGAGAAAGGTGGTTGTATGCCCTCACTCTGCCTGAGGTGTTCGTATACAGGGCCTTTAAGATGTTAATGAACTTCTCAGGCACACCCTTCTTCAATAGACAATCCCAGAGAGCAGTCCTGTCCAACGAATCGAAGGCCGCCCTGATATCAAGAAACACTACGATTGTTGGCCTGCGATAAGTATGATGGTGTTCTAACATTTGGCGGAGGGTGAAGATGTGATCAATGCATCCTCGACCAGAACGAAAACCAGCCTGCTCCTCGCGAGTCAATCGTTCTCGGGTTTTAAACAACCTACGAAGAATGATAGAAGCCAATAGTTTGGACGCAATCGAAAGTAGACTTATCCCCCGATAGTTGTTACAGGAACAACGTGAACCCTTTTTAAAGATAGGGACGACTACCGACTCATTCCAAGATGTTGGAACACTTTCTTGTTCCCAAACCTTTCCAAACAACACAGTCAATTTCTTAGTCAGAAAGTCACCACCATCTTTAAAAAGAGCCGGAGGTAAGTCATCTGGGCCAGGTGATTTGTAACGTTTCAAGAGTTGGAGTCCCTTGCGGACTTCCGCCTCGTTTGGTGGATCAGTCGTCGCCGGCCATGGGGGGCAGGACAAGCTGGTTGATTCATTTGTGTGTGGGCTGTGATACTGCCCGGGTGCCCAAACCGAAGCAGGTGGTTTTCTTAGGGGACCACACCTCGAGCCTTTGACCTAAAGGTCTGATCCACAAGGCCGTGGAGCATCGTGAGGAGATGCAGTCCCATGGTAGCCGTTGACCAATGACAGGTTCTTCCGCCATTCGTTCCATCAGGATACTGGAGCCCATGTGCACCATTGGTTTGGAATCAGGGTTTTCCAACTCCCCTAGGTGGACCCTCCGTGTCTTATGAAGAAGGATGATCCGATGCACACGTAAAGGCAAGGGTTAGTAGAGCAAGGACAGCATTCCTACAGTTGAAGAACATATGTAACTCAAAACAACTGTATGCAAGTCAGTATCAAAGTCAAAATCTTCAATACAGACGTCAAGACAGTTAGTTCCATTGTATGGAGCTGAAACGTGGAGAACTACCACAAACATCATCAAAAATGCGCAAGTATTTATAAACAGTTGTCTACACAAGATTCCCAATGTCCATAGAGAACAAACGAGTTTCTATCTGAAGAGGAAATTAGGAAAAGATGCTGTAAGTGGATAGGATATACGTTACGGAAATCATCCAACTGCACTATGAGGTAAGCACTAACTTGTAATGCTAAAGGTAAGCAGAAAAGAGGAAGACCAAATGACACTGTGTTGATAATTAGAAACAGACATGAAAAAGATGAATAGCAGCTGGAAACAAGTTGAAAGTATTGCGTAAGACAGAGTTGGATGGAGAATGTTTATGGGTGGTCTATGCTCCTCTATGAGGGGTAACAGGCGTAAGTAAGTATATTGTGCACCGATTCAATTCACCACACCACATAATTATATCAATTTAAATTAGTAAGATAAATGCAAGAATGGTAAAAGTATCACTGAAAGTAACAAACAGTAATCGTTACTAGTATTACTCGAAAAAAAGTACAAGTCTTATAAAGTAAAGAATAGATACATTTACATCATTATTATCTATTCTAAGTTGTGTTATTCAATGTTTACAAACATTCAGTACTAATTCATACAGTTTCTTTTTGTTTCATTGCAATACTTGTATCTATAAATTTATTCGTTAATAGGAATCTATATTTATGGATAAACCACTGACTGCTCTACTTCTTCCAACAATTCGTCCACAAAATTTGCCTAAAGGAATTCAGCCACTTTTAGTATTTGTTAATTTAAAATCTGGCGGTTGTCAAGGTGTCGATTTAATTGTTGCTTTTCGTCGATTACTCAATCCATTTCAAGTAAGCGTATATATGTTTCCCCGTGTTAGTATATTTCAATGTGTTATCTTCTTATTTGTTTTGTGTTGGTCACTACTTTAATGTGTACACAAATAACTCTTATATAAGAATTGTAATATTGTTTTATATACACTTTTTATCCCGTTAAAAATGTGTACCATTTATTACAACTCAATTCTTACATCTTTTGAATTTGGTTTTCAATCACAATTGATTCAGTAGTGTATGTGATTAATGATATTTTTTCATTTATATCTTGTCTAATGACTTCTTTCTTTCAAGTGTTTATTCATTTAATATTGTTGATGTCCGTTATTGTCATTCTTTTTCCTCGTTTATCTTTCTTTTCGACTTCCCGATGGCAATTTCAGGCTGGGGATAAACCTCGCATTTTCAAGTCATCTAAGTGTATCGTAGTCAGTAATTACGGTTACACTTTTTTATGTAGTCACTCATTTGTAAGTATTTTGAAGTAATTTCTATTATAGAATGAATTGGAGGCATGTCATTTGCTGTGTTGCAACGTTTCTTCCATCATGACTGATTGACCTACACTTGATACGTCCGTAGCATAATGAAATGATATTTTCGTCGTAGAAAACTTTACATTTTTTATGCATGCCAGCAAAAACGACAGATAACGAAACGTGTCCTCTATCATGGATTACGAAAGTGTATATAATGGTTCATTTTGGTTGGTTGTCCGGAGAAAGGTCATGATTGCGAACGAGAATGGAGTTTTTCTTCACTCCAATTTCACTAACTTTAAGGGATCTCACTATTTTTCTGTCTGTTTGGATAACTAATTAAATTTTACATATATTCTTAGAGTAGTTTAGTTAGTCAGTCACACATATATTGTAGTTAAATATGATAAAGTAGTGTAGCCATCTCGTATTTTAATAATTTATACCTTAATTATTAGTTAATGCTGTATGATGTTTAATTTTAAACACTGTTCATGCACAAAATATTACATCATTTAATGATTCTTCTACCTTATTTCCATTGAATGTTTTTGAACAAAATGACTAGATTTTTGTATAAGAATGAAATTATTTGTTCAATTCTTCTTATAAATTAAGTGAGAATAGTTACTTGGGTATTATTGTGTTCTTAATTTCGAAAGATCTATTACAAACTATTACACCAAACTCCATCTTTTGATTGAGTTGTGCTGCATAGTCCTTTCATTTAGCCTGATACAAATGAATGATGAATATTTTACATCTCATTCATAATCAAATATATTTAACAAACCTTTGTTTTGTCATTTTATTATAAACAATGAAACTTCTGTAAATATCATGAATGTCGATGGACTTTACCCACTTGCTTAAATATCAAATATGACATTTTGATAGTAATGTATACAGTTCATTTATTTGTTCGACTTCAGTCATCATTTCATCTGTTGTTCCACTGTTTTTGTCCTTTTTTAGGTATTTAACCTTGATTATGGTGGTCCTTTACCTGGCCTATATTGCTTTCGTCATTTAGTCTCATATAAGATTCTTGTTTGTGGTGGAGATGGTACAGTAGGATGGACATTGTCGTGTTTGGATATTGTTGGACAGGATGCAGCATGTAACGCTCCTCCTATTGCTCCTCTTCCTCTTGGAACTGGTAATGATCTATCTCGTGTTCTTCGATGGGGTTCTGGTTATTCGTCAGCTGATGATCCTCTAACTATTTTAAAGGATGTAGTTGCCGCTGAAGAAGTGAAGTTAGACCGGTATATAACGTTATTTCAATCCATATTTTATCGAAAATTGCTCATACGACCACACTTTACATCACTGACTGATCGTAGTCAGACAACCGCTGTAAATGAGAAAGCACTGAAGAGAGCTGGTTCATTTTAGTAGGGGACTAATCATCAGTGTGTGTCAACGACCTCATCTGCGATCGTACCCAGGACTTCCAAGTCTCGCAGCGGGTGTTCAAGGTTTAGTCACTGGATGGGCATCCAGTGGTCTACATTTCTAATGTCGATTTATTCGCAATGTTGCACACTCAGCTTCCGATACCATTGATGGGTAACTGTCTCACACTACAGACATGGTTGAATTCTATTGGTCACGGCTTCTCACTAGAACTCCGGGAATTACCTATCGAAAGTAGTCACTAGTGAGGAAACAGTTATTATTGATAATGACATCACAAAATAATGATTGTCATAAATGTTAACTATAATATTCATCAATCTCTACAAAACTATCAGCTACGTATTTGTAGAATTGTGTTCATCCTATGAACTTCTCGACTTTTGGTAACTGTATTTTTTACTCAGTAGCATTTTGTTTATCGTATTGAAGAAATGAACCTACTTAAGGTTCAGAGATTACAGAAGGAACTAATTCATGATATATTAGTATCCTGTCAAATGCAAACTAAAAACATTTTCTTCTCTACTTGTATGAAAAATCAATTGAGTAGTTTTAGACTATGTAGTAGTTATAATAAAAGTACAATATTTGTTAGACTGTTTATGCTTTCACTCCTGATAATGATCTTTCTGAAATATTAGATAGCAGGGAAGGTACTCTTATAAAACCATGAGTGACATAACTCAATTAATCACAGTAGCGTTTTCCTGCAAACTTAAGCTTTTTAAATTGCTGTGTATTTTTTTATTCCACGAATTCATTCCTTCTTGAACGACAATTTCTATGCCTAGTGTTTTTTTTACCTTCATCAATAGTGTTGCTACTTCTGCTGTTGTTGTTTTTGTCTTGATAACTTCATGTTGTTGTGTTGATATGATGTGTCGGATTTTTAAGTTTTATTACAGATTGACCTACTTTATTTGTTAAAACAATATCCTCATTATTAATTCTTTTTTATTACTACTGATAATCGCTTATAGATGGACGTTGATTGTTCGACCAGAAGAAGATTTTAAAGATGAAACAAAATTAGCTTTAGAATTGCAAACCAATGCATCGAATACAAATGAAGATAATTCAATTATGATTATTATGAATAATTATTTTGGTATCGGTATAGATGCTGATTTGGCATTAGATTTTCATAACGCACGTTCAGAGAATCCATCAAAATTCAATAGCCGGTAAATTGTTGTAATTTTTCTGTTTTTGTCCCTTTTTCAATTTCTTTGCTAGCTTTTCATTATTCCTTGTTCATATTAAAGATGATTAGAGGAGTCAGTCGTCAATAAATCTCAGACATAAAGTGGTAATGTGTTAGTTTCATTTTTAAAAGAACTGTTTATCTCTATGGGATTCGAACCTATGTCACTTATTGTCACAATCAGAGGCGTTTCCCAGTGAGCTAACCAAACAGCGATCTATCTTCTGAGGAAATAAGATATTTACGTTGTTTGTTCATGATTTAAAACAATTAGTCCCTATGATAAATTTCGATAATGCAATGAGAAGACGAAGTTTATCAGAATTATGTGATATATTAGCGCAATACATTTCGAACAATCTGATCACACACATACTTGTTAAGACATTTTTATATGAAAATTAAAAGATCAACTAGACAGGTTAAGGTAAGAAAAATAAATAAAGTACACAAAAACAATGTGATGACTAATCTGGATAATAAATAAACATTACCAGGGTAGGTTAAGGGTAAGAACAAATTGTTTTTGAACACATTGTTCACTGATTACTAATCAATGTCATGTTTTTTTATCGTGAGTGGTGATCATATTCTATCGATCAAATCTGTGCCTAAATTGGTAAGATTTGATCTGACATGAAGCTAGTTAATACTTTAGGGTAAATTTGCTATGTCTACCGTGATATCAACATCATTTGGATAAATCATATTAAAAATGAAGTAGTGTTGGGCAGTTTGCTTTTATCTCTCGGCTTGCTAAAATTACCGTATAAATATACTAGTTCATATGTTTTAAGACTGTTGGAACCCTTAATGAACATTTCAATTTGTAGATAACAAGGTTCACTATCAAACTAGAGATATTTGCAGCTACTAACTAGGTCACTATAATGAAGACTATCTTCTTTTGTTTTAAATACCTTACCTTTTGTATGGTTCTCATAATGCGGAAGGAAAATTGTATGTTTACACATTAGTATGTGATCAATCGCCTGAATTGAAGTGAATTTTCATCGTCAAATGACAAGTACATGCGAAAACCAACTTACTGATGATAGATGGACAAATGAATTAATAGTTGTTTTTTTCTACCAAGTGGACTTTTATATTCAAAATATTAAGCACAGTATTAAACATAATTAAATGTCATTCTAGGCATAAATGATTGTAGGATATATGGATATTATAGGATCAAATTATAATTTGTCCATCAGACATGTTTTTTGTTGTTGTTTGGCTTATCAGTTCTTGAGACAGCTTATCACATGTTTAGTATTTAGTAAATATGAAAAAGTTATTTTCACTTTTTTATGTGTACTCAATGCTTTCACATAACAACTAAACAACTCTTTAAATATTTAATTGGTTATCAATCAGTCTTAGTGTACTGTGCTATGCTGTGTTTTAATCTAATCTTTACATATTACACATTAAAACCCCATTATTTCTTTATTATTGTTGTTATTAAATAGATTTAATTAAAAATGATAAGAATTGTTACAGATGAATTTTCTTTTCTTTTATGTTCAGACGAATAATCACAGTTCATGGATATTTTGATTAACTTATTGTTTATTTTATTTTTCGTTTAGTATTCACAATAAAAGTGTTTATTTTAAAATTGGTTTAAGAAAAATGATTAATCGAACTATTTGCAAAGATTTACACAAACAAATTGTAGTTGTTGCTGATGGGAAAATTGTCATGTTACCACCAATTGAAGGTCTAGTTGTATTGAATATTCTTTCTTGGGGTGGTGGAGCTAATCCATGGACTGTAGAAAAGCATGATGATGAATTTGTTAAACCTACACATTATGATGGTCTACTTGAAGTTGTTGGCATTTCTGGTGTAGTTCATATGGGACAAATCTATTCTGGTCTTGGCACTGGGATTCGTCTTGCTCAAGCAGCACATGTAATTTTGACCTTTATATGTAAAATTTTTTCTATTGTAAATGATATGATAGATTTCGTAAAATTAATCTGTTTCATTTTGAGGATTTATTAAAACATCGCAGTAAATGTTAACAACATATTTCTTGAATCTGAAAATTGTTCTTTTATCAAGATATAGTCAATTTAACTCTTTTCCAAAACAGTAATTGATATATTCGTTCACTTTATATAGGTAAGCGCCGATAATGTGAATATACGTAACGATTAAATCACCAAGTTCAGCGAGAAACGTCTGCCTAAATTAAACGTCTTTACCGTTTCATGACAAACTAAAGATAATGTAAATGAATTGAGATTTTTCTAAACTAAAAACTTTTCAAGCCACCATTTATCACATATTTTAAGAGCTTTTACTGGAAGTAGTTAGCACTCGGGTGATTGTTCGTCTTTATTTGAAATTTAAAGTGTCTTTTTTCTTCGAAACATGACCATCAAGCTTAAATATGTAGGCACAATGTACGTATGTTCGATTATACGTTTCAATGAAGTATTGGTCACGTGTAACAGAACCATTAGGTTAGAAATGTTGGTGTTAGATGTAACGTTTTAGGTAGGGAGGGACGATCAAACGAAAGGGTTATTGACTTACATTGATTGCGGTAATTAAGTCGTATGCTAAATGTGCGAAGAACTACTCATCCTGACATATGTTAGGAGAGTCAAACCAAAATATTATAGCAGTCTATGAGATCCTTAATTCTTAGTCTGAGTTTAGCCGTGAGATGTAGGTCTTCTGTCTCGTGTCCACCTATTAATTAAAGTTAGGAACATAATGTTTGTCAATCGATCACAGTTAACTCGTTTTTATTATCTTTGTTTAAATAAGGATTTCATTTCTATTGATTTATTTCTGTCTTTTCCGTCACATCGTTTTTCATCAGAATACCTTTTCTTGTTCAATTCTGTCTTTGCAAGGTCTCCTTGATACTTATACCTGAGAAAATTTGCGCAAAATTTCAAGTTGTGATTATCTTTTTTTCATTCTATCGTTACAGCTTTTGCTGTATATAATCTGTCAAAGATTTTGTTATCTTCCAGAACACATTTGTCCTAAAATGATGTCCAATTTCAAGCTACTTCTTTTCCAGTTAATGCGTGTTTTTAAGTGATACATTTTTTCAGTTTAAAAATAAGTCTTTTCTACAGACACTGCATTTAAAAATAAATGATGTAAAACTCCGTTCTACTATCTATTGAATGTAAATTAAACTGACTGTGTCTTCTTTTTCACGAACTAGTTTCAGTACAATCCATTTTATTTTCTGCTAAGCTATTTGATTTGTTTTTTACAAAGAACATCTTTAATATATATATATATATATATATATATATATATATATATATATATATATATATATATATATATTAGTCTGTTCTCTATTGTCGGCAGGGATCCGCTCAGTTATCATGTTATATGGTCCATAATTGTTCTCAAGATCAGAGACGTATTCGATTCCCATGGATCTTGAGTTTCATAATTACAGTATACTTTTCTATTCAATTAACTCATTCATTATTCTCGAATCATATTGTCTATGCTTAGTATTTACCTTATCAAAACTTCATAGTAATTCTTAGGCATAACGTGGATATTTAGGGTATTCATTAACCTTCCTATTTCTTCATTATCTAAAATTGATATTGACTTTTTAAGAAATAATTTTCTAACTAGTTCTCTTCAAGAATCAATATCACTTCCTGATGTATTATTTAGAATTAAGAAACACTAAACATATAATAGCAAAGATGGATGGTGGCTAGCAATGGAATCCAGGACGCCCTATTTATGACTCGTCAGCTGGATGTACCTGCATATAATGCTTGTGATTTAAGGCAATATCGAGGCAATTCACACAGAATATACACATGCCAATAAGAGACTGATCAATTGCAATTCTGAACATCAATGGGAAGATTCGAACAAACAGTACAAAAATGAGTTTACTAAACATGTAGTTTGTTTGTTTTAATTTTTTAAAGCCATGGATACAGAAATGACTGGCGACTCCTCGAGTTTTGTTTTCCTATGTGTGTGCGCATTTTTTGAGAAAGCTATATATGTATAGGTAAATGCTTTATCATCTTTTTACTTGGTGTTTCTTTTTTAAATATAAAAATTATTTTTACTGTTGAGTGATTTATCAATCTATTTGTTTATTTATAGTTTCCTATTGATTAGCTCTCTTTATATCATATGATATATTATTTCTTCTAGAGTGTGTAATTTTCTCTACTCATTATTTCTTATTGTCGTAAACTGTTCTATCCTGTTTACCCTTTTTGTTTCCTTTTCTTTTACTCGAATCTTTAAATTTGTTTACTTTCTTTTATTTGAAAAAGAGAAACAACAAATCGACGTAGCACTTATTATGCGCATTTACTTTTATCTATAACTGGTGAATGAAATAAGTCTTAATTGAATTCCTTTTGATTATTTGTGCTTTCTAGATTAAATGTTTACGGACACCGGCAATATGTATGATTTATTTGCTTTTACACAGAAAAATGAGTAGTCGTTTTCATTATTATTTAGTTGAGTACAATATTTCAATCATTATGAATCATAAATTAATTGGTATTGAAAATTTTCTGTTTTGTCATTAGTTGAAAATTTGGCTTAAGTCTGAGCTCCCTATTCAAGTTGACGGCGAACCGTTTATTCATCCACCTGGTCAAATTACTGTACTACGTTCTGCACTGAGTGTAAGCGTGTTATTTCAATTATTTTAACATGATATTAAATTATGTCCATTTGATTTCTTTTCAAGTCTATGTTTACATTGGCAAAGCTTTTATCTTCAATCTAGGCAGTATCTTCACTGTGGTTTTGTAAAGAAATGTAGGAAGGTAAAATAATTTAAATCTCCCACTCACATTTGATGCGTTAGGATTCATCATAAGCTATTAAATCATTGTTAACTAAGTAACATTGATGTTTTGTCCTGATTTCCGGACACTCCATCCGAGACTCAGCTTAAGATTAAGTCATGAGCATTACGGTCCTCGTAGCAAGCATAATACTTTAAGACTGTAGATTTGTAATTCAGTCATTCACCCCAATTCACTGTTACCACAAGTCATTTCATCTTGTGGGATTCTTATTAATGAGCATGCCGACGGTATGACTGAAACGCCTAAATAAGTGTATTATTTTACAGCTTGTCATAAACATGACACTTTAGATAATATTCGGTTTGTAAGAATATCGGCTTAATGTTTATCATACTTGATATTAGTTTATTACTTTAGTCATTTGTTTTATTCCATAATATGTATATAGGCCAATATGTTAAGAAAGGTTAAACGACCTAAACGAAGACCTGGTACAGAGGACTGTGGGTTGAATCAATTGCCATCTACAGATCAACAATATCAAAAGTCAATGCAACAACATTCAACCATTAGATTACATGATTTCAATCCATCATCTGATTATTCATCTTTAGATATTATGCAGAATATAAAAGAAGATTTACAACTTCCTATAAATAAGTTAAATATGGATTCATTCATTTCTGATACACCTACTTATAGTAAACCAGTAATTAATCTAACATCAATACCAATTTATAATAAGGATAATACACCAACCAATACTGTACGGTCATCAACAGTGTCTATAGTACATTCAAATGATGATAACGACAATAGTCAGCTTATATCTGATGATACCACCACTGTTTATCATCAAGGAAGCCTTACAAACACTTTAAATCAATTAAGTTTATGTAGTAAAGTTAGCAGTCAAGAAATATTATCGTCTTCTGTCAATCTTTCTTCATCATTATCACGTATATGCTCATATGCAACACTATCAGGTGATGACAGTGTGTGAACTTCATTCCTTTTCTCAATCAGCTATATATAATTCTCTCATTTCAATGAAGAGATATCTATTTTTATATTTTTATGAATTATACTTCATGTGTTCGTCGGGGAAAAAACACTAAGACCATTGTAATAATATATGCAAACTGTATGATGTAATTTTATTATTTCATACATTTTAGTAATGCCGTTTCGACTTTCCCTTTTTTATGTTAAAGAAAGATTTGTTCTTTTGGAGACATATATTTCTGTTTCTTTTTGTAAATTCCATTATATATTAAGTCGTCTTTGATGTCATCGTATTTTCGCATCTGGTTTCATTCTCATTATTATTTCTCTCTTCTGTAATTCCCTCCTTTTCAACGGGATGGAACTTGTTTTATTTGTTCACTTGTACATGTGCGTGTGTTCAATTTAAAAACAGGTAGTAGGAATACTTAATCTTTGTTATTTCATTTTGATTATTTACTGATTAGCAGTATATATAACAATAAATTATTAAAGTCGAACCATTGTTACTGTATAATTTGTTCTGTTATTTCCATTATTGAGTTGCGGTTTTTTATAGAAAAAATTAGACTATTTGTTTGTTAGCAGAATTTTCATTATATTTTACTCATTATTATATTGTTACGAAGACTAAAGAAAATTTAATCATAGGAGAATCTATCTTAAACTAATTCCTAACCATTATTTTCACCAATGCATTCAAATATATAATGGGTAAATAATCAACCATGAGCTGTAGCTTTACAGGCCAGCCTTTTTTATGTCAATTCGTCTATTGTAATTTTGGCAGTTCAATTGTACGTTGTCCTTAATGGAGTAGATTTGATTTGTACTTTTTAGATATTTGTCACTTATTTGTATGTGTCTTTTAGTTCAGATGCATTAGTGTTCATGGAAAGCGAAAGTAGTTGTCTTCTTTAATCGTATAATTCTGAATCAAACTGTAAAGCAATCCAAATACTACACATCGTTTAATGACTATTCTGAAGTGTGTTGTCGGTAAACAATACTTACAAGAATTAGTCAGTTATTAGTTACCGTAGGTTTTGTGGATGATTATCGACGGTATGCTTTAATATGGTAATAATTCTCGAGAGTGAACTATCCGCTTATAATCACTTTGTCCTTTAAAATAGCGACTACTAGAAGGCTTAGTTTGTAAGTACTAATCTGAATTTTATTTTCCGACTATTTAGTGTTTCACCTATGTTATTCAGTTATTTGCAAAATAACTAAATCTGTCTGTTCAGCTTGCAGTAATTCAAAGATTCTTTCAAACTACTGAACTTTTGTAAAAAGTGGGAGTTCCCTACTGTTTGTCAATTTTTGCACTAGTAAAAGAATGTTTATGTTGTTTAAATGAAGTTACATCTAATTAACTATTTATTAGTTAATTGTTGGCTGGCTTAACCATACAATCACAATACAAACAGATAAATTTTAGTCATCCAAAATAATCTAATTTCTCAACAATAAAATTTCATTAGTTTACAAGATCATTTGTTCAAGCTGTTTGAGAAGTCATTTGGAATTCTCGAGATAAAAATTGACCGTGGTTGGGAACAGGATAATTGTTGTATCCCGAAGAGAATTGTGAATGGTAACTTTTGAGCACTATTTGTGGACCAATGTAGTATGTATATTTCCTATTGTATAATTGTTAAGTAACTAACCTAATCATATTCGTGTTCCTCTTATCATTAGCTTTATTTTGACCTTTGAACTATTATATACGATTCTTGAGTTATCATAAGTTTATTGATTTTCCCCCTATTCACAGCCACATTTGACTAAATATTGTACAAATGTTATTTTCTATTTTATGGTACGATGTGGTCTGTCTGGTGGGTATATAAACCCAGTATGTTTGTGAATAATGATTCATACCACTTTGGACTTAACTGGTTAGGCTAGGCAGAAGCAGGATCGATAAGCACTCTAGACTGCTCGTACGGTTTTCGTGTGTCACTGTTTCAATCGATAATTCGTTGATCTCTGATTTGCGGTTTCATCAAGTCACACATTAACTAGGCATCCACTCGGCCACAAGATATAACAATAATGTTGCGGGACATGAATCAGGTGTATTTACACTTCATTTTCCTCTGAGTCTTGAACATATTGTTACCCCCACACTTTATTTTATTTATTCCATCTAATATTTCCCACTTATTTTACACCGATGTTGAATATTCACTCTTTTGATGTTATGTGAGTTATAACAATATGGACCGATAGACGTTAGTATCAGGTTCTGCGTTGTTTATGTCTCTGGCTACAATGTGAAATGCCTTGTTCATGGACTGTGTACGGCACATTTAAGCGATAACAGCACTGTATTCTATAAATGCACCCCGATAAGCAGTAAGTAGAAACACTTGCTGACGCTAAAATATCACTATTCTACAAACAATGGCAGGGTAGTAGTTAAAGTAAGCTACTCAAATATATGTAGAAGCTATACATATTCAAATTACGGATGTTCAAGGCAGTCTCAAAATGCTTAATAATCCAAACCGACTGCACAAAATAAGTACAATTTGTAAGAAATGATTATAACGAATCGTATGATTTCAACCTACTCGTCAGTTACTCCAAATTAACGAATAAGGTATAAGAACTTTTTTAGGAGTTACTGAAGATTCAGGAGTTGGGCACTTTGTATGTTGAATATATTTTCTAACGTACAATAATTATAGATCACACTTACCAAACGGATAAACACAATTATTTCGTACAAATAAGATTATATTATAATTCAGATATTACTTATCACATGTTGTTGATCTGTCAAGAGAAAAATGCAACACTACCAGGGAATATTTTTAGATCACTACAACAATATACAAAGTGACAAAAACGAAGATAAATGCAAAAGTAACTAGAAATACAGAGGTCATTAGGAATAAAAATACCAGAACTGTATACAGAAGTGTTCGAATTGTTACTGATTGTTGTGGCGAGATTATTATGTAATTCATGGGGAGTAGTTTCAGTGTTGAAAACATGCTGACAGCTGGAGACTGAAATCAGGTAGATGTAACCAAACGACGGCGAATACATGATTCAGTTACATCTGGTAAAAATAAAAGAATATACCATATCATTGTCAGAAAACAAAGGGACGCATTTACATGTATTACTTACTACTGTTAAAACTCATGGAGGAGCAAAGGCCACTACCCACCAGAATTATCCATCCAATTCTGTCCTGGGCAATCATAGGTTGCTATTCATCCTTTTCATGTCTTCTTCGGATTCCCGACGCAATATGTTCCTAGGCCTTCCTCTTTTCAACTTACCTTCATGAGTACAAGTTAGTGCTTGCCTCATGATGCAGTTGGATGATATCCGTAGCATATGTCCTATCCACTTACAGCATCTTTTCCTAATTTCCTTCTTATCTGAAAACTCGTTTATTCTCTGCCACAGTGGTTTGTTGCTGATGACATCTGGTCAACAGACATTGAGTATCTTGTGTAGACAATTGTTTGCCAACTTACGTCACCTATGGCGAAGACGAGATATCTGTCTACCAATTAAGGGACGAGTATACTGCGCAGCAGTTCGTTCTGTTCTACTTTACGGCTGCGAAACATGGCCATTAAGAGTAGAAGATACTCGTAGGTTACTAGTATTTGACCACAGATGCCTTAGAAATATTGCTCGCATCTGCTGGGATAACCGGGTAGGTAATAGTGAGGTTAGACGCAGGGTATTAGGGAATGATGGTAAATCAGTTGATGAGGTCATGAATCTTCATCGACTGAGATGGTTGGGCCACTTGTTACGTATGCCTGAACATCGATTACCACGACGCGCAAAGTTGACTAGTGTAGGGGATGGTTGGAAGAGAGTTAGGGGCGGCCAAACCAAAACATGGCATCAGTGCTTGAAGTCACTAACTTCTAGTCTGAGCCATGTTGACAGATGCAGACTACCTGGTTGGGGTCCGCGTGACTATCGTAACCAATGGTTGGAGACTGTGGGTGACATGGCTCAGAATCGATCACAATGGCGTAGGTGTATACACTCTTTATCTTCCATTAAACCTTGAGATTAAAATTGCTTCATAACTTTTTTTCCTTCCTATACTACATCCTTATATACAACCTTTCTTTATATACTACCACCACTAAATTAATTACTTCTATGAATCCGGTGTTCATCTTGTTGTGCTAACGAGGTATGGCAACTTGAACCGATGCATATATGTGCCTGGTCCTACGTTGTCGCTGACTGACTGATATAAATACTTGCACATTTTTGATGGTGGTTGTAGTAGTTCTCGACGTTTCAGCTCTGTACAGCAGAACTGTCATCTGCAAAAACCAAATCGCTTAGTTGCATCCAAGCTATCTATTTCATGCGGTGCTTCTACTGAGATGTGGTCTTCATAATCCAGTAAACCACCAGAAGAATGGGATAGAGTAAGCAACCTTGTCTGATACCGGTCTTCACTTTGAATGCGTCTGTCAGCTGACCTCCACGCACGACTATGAAGCGTAGTCCGTTGTACGAATTCTGTATGATGTTGACGATCTTAACTACCACATACGGCCAAAGAAAGTTCCATAAAATTCTATTCAGTGTTAAACGCCTCATAATCAAGGAAGTTGATGTATAGTGACGTATTCAACTCAACGATGATCCATAGTGTCGCAACTCGGTCTGCGCACGACCGATCCTTACGGAATCCGGCCTGTTGATCTCGACACAGCGTGTCTACAGAACCTGTCATTCTGGTATTGATAATAGGGTGAAGCCTCTAGTTCTTATACCTGTCCAGATCTCCTTTTTTGGTATCTTGATGAGGTATCACCGTTTCTTCAGTTGTCCAGTGCTCCTTTAGCTTCAGTTTCATCTTGGCAACCATCGCGTGATGATCTGAAGCTATGTTAGCTCCTCTCCTGGTTTTCACATCTTCCATCGACCCTCTGAATTTCTTAGAGATGCAAACATTATCGACCTGGTTCTTTGTAGTTTGATTCGGTGAGACCTGTGTAGCTTTGTGTATGGGTTTGTGGGGGAATATTGGGCCGCCTGTAACCATTTTGTCGAACGCACATAAGTCTGCAACTCTCTCTCCATTCTCGTTACTTTCAGTCCATGTTGTCCCACGATATCTTCATGCCCGGTGTAGTCCATCCTGACTCGAGCGTTTAGGTCTCCCATCAGAATGATCAAGTCATTCCTGGGCACTTTGCTATGGTCGATTGCAGCCTCGCGTAAAACTTATTTTTATCATTAGTGGTTGCATAGCACTGGATAACATTCATTGTGATTCCCTACATCGTCTTGAAGAATGCTTCGATGATCCTGGATCCATGAGACTGTCATCCTACAAGTGCTTTCCGTGCCTCTCTGGACAGCATCAGAGCAACTCCCTGTGTGCGAACCATTCTTTTCCTCATGACCCGAGTGCAGCAGCAACTCTTCTGAATCTTTTTCTGTCCAGCATGGGTCCAATGGGTTCCACCCGTTCCGAGCACCATCAAGTTGTATCTTCTCATTTCCGTAACTATTTGACTGGTCTCCTACATTGTCCGAACATTCCATGTACCTATATCAACTATTGCTCTGGTTGTTAGAAGGGGCATCGGTATCATGACTTCCGAAAAGTCTTGGCTTTCCCTATGAAGCGTCATAATTCTTCTGAGTAAATATCCTTCAACTCCCAGGGCAGAGTTTAAATGGTTTGATTTGTTTGTTCTGGTTAGTGTTTTTTTAGCAAGGTTGTTTTTCACAAAATTGGATTGCTATCCCCATGCCTAACCCTCCTCCTTTACCTGGGCTTGGGACCGGCGGTATATATTTACATAGGACAAGAAAGGTCGATCACATAGTGAACTTCAAGAAGCTGGTGTACTTCGTTCGTACTTTAGTTATGAAAAGTTTTATGAACGTAAATTCTCGCTATTGATAGGTCATAAACCACTGTTTACATTATTTTGAAAAGTACCCAGACTTTTATGTCTGGGTACTAGTAAAACTTATAGATAAAAAATAATCCCGTTGAAATTCGATGGCTGGTGTATAAGCGTTGATAATGAGATTTGAAGAAACTTTTGAAGACGGGAACTAGTACTAAGCAAAGTAAACCCTAGTACTACTAAAGATGTGTGAGAGATCGATACTAAAATTCTTCACGATAATGTGAGATAGTTTCTCCTTGAAAACACTAACTGGGAAGCATGGGCAACAAATGCTTGAGGCTTATCACAGGTGTCATTTCAAATGGCACATGAATTCAACCTTGTAGTATTTAGTACATGCATTTTGAACCTCCGTCGTTACAGAGTTCATTAGAAAATTGAGAAACTTTTACCATGAAACAGAATAAGTTATGTAAGATCGGTACTTCATATAAGAGTTTTTCAAGTGATAATGAATAGGTAAGCTTAGATAAAATGGAAACAATACTAGTAATTATATATTTAGGTAATCAGATAGCACCTTGTACACATGTCCACCACATAATGCTGCAGTTTTCAGTAGGAATAAGGAAGATTAATGTTCACAAGCTTAAGAGAGCATATTACCTGCATAAGATATTACGAAATCAACATTGCAGAATCCACTTTTACAAGAAATTTCGATATTCTCTTCAACATGCATATATTGGTTGTTCTTAAACGACTAGTCTGACATAATATCAATACTGTCAGTAAATGTGATTTATATGCACACCAGTTTTAGAAATCCAGCTTATCAGAACGGAAAAATTGATTTATTTCTCGGCCTTTAGACTACTATAATTTTACAATGGAGTAAAAACCTAACTTGCTATACTTTCAGCCACTATATTTCAGAATCTGTTCATAAGCTGATACTTAAAGATTTTACAATGATCTATTCATAGGATTCACAAGTCACCTTGTTTCTAATTAGCTTGATGAGTGCATAAGCCACTAAATATGAATGTGTATTCCCCTCCTTACCAATTGACCATTTGAAAACCATTTTATAATTGCACTCAGTCAGTCACAACGTAGAACTTCGTACGTACGTACATCAGTTCGAGTTGCCATACCACATTAGCACAGAGATGCAGTTGTCGATTCAAATCCCATAGTGGTAGAAGTAGTAGGAGTATAATCAGAAATCCAAAAGATTAGGGTTTGAAGAAATTATTGAAGGAGTATAGTACAGTGAAATAAATTTGGAAAGAGAAAAAGATAAAGACATGAGGAATTCAGAAGATTAGAATTTGGTAGAACACAAAGAGTGGATGCATCTTCGCCATTGCAAACGATTTTGAGCCATGTCATTCAAGGTCTCTAACCATCGGTTGCTGTCATCTCGCGAATCCCAACCAGGTAGTCTACACCTACCAACATGGCCCAGTCCACTTGTCAGTGACTTCATTGATTTGTGCCACGTTTTGGTCTGGCCACCCCTAGCTTTCTTCCAACCTACTCCTACACCATAAAACATTGCACGTCGGGGCAGTCGGTGGTCGGGCATACGTAACACATGTCCCAGCCATCTCAACTGATGAAGTTTCACTACTTCACCAATCGATTTGCCATCCCTACCTAGTACTCGTTTCCTAACAACTGCATTACTTACCCGGTGGTCCCAGGATATACGAGCAATGCTTCGAAGACACCTATGATCAAACACTAGTAGCCTACGAATATCCTCTACTCTTATTGGCCATGTTTCACTGCCATAAAGTAGGACGGAGCGAACTGCTGCACAGTAAACCCGTCCTTTGGTTGCTAGACGGATATCTCGCCTACGCCATAAATGACGCAAGTTGGCGAAAGCTAGACGAGCCTTCTGTATCCGTGCTGAGATTTCGTCACATACCAGACCACAAGGGCTGATGAGACTCCCAAGATAAGTGAAGTGGTCTACACGCTCAACTACTTCACTCCCTATCATTAGTTCAGGTGTCGCTGCAACCCAATCCTGAAGTAACATTTTGCACTTCGAGGGAGAGAATCGCATCCCGAACATGCCTGCATAGATGCTTATAGTGGTCAGAAGACTCTGCATGTTGTCAGCGTCTTCACCGAGAAAAACTATGTCGTCGGCGTATTCTAAGTCAACAAGTGAGCCTCCTGGTAAAAGTTCAACTCCTGGAGGTTTAGCTGATGAAAGTGCTATCTCTAAAAGTATGTCAATGACAAAGTTAAACAAGAATGGGGAGAGTGGACAGCCCTGACGAACGCCACTTGTGGTAATCAGTTCTGATGACAGTTCGCCATAGGCTCTAACTCGACCAGTTGTGTTCGAGTAGAGAGCCTTTATGAGGTTAATGTACTTCTTTGGTACTCCTTTCAGTGACAAACATTGCCATAGAACCTCACGATCAACGGAGTCAAATGCCGCCTTAAGGTCAAGAAACACTACTATTGTGGGACGTCTGAATTTGTGTCTATGTTCTAGGACCTGACGTAGGGTGAATATCTGGTCTGTGCAACCACGTCCAGGTCGGAAACCAGCTTGGTTTTCTCTAGTCTGCTCTTCACGAGCTTTGGTTAGGCGACCTAGTATTATTGAAGCTAATATTTTAGACACTATATTAGTCAAACTGATCCCTCTGTGATTGTCACAAGAGGACTTTTGTCCTTTCTTATAGACTGGCACAATCAGTGATTGAAACCAGTCAGATGGAATTACGTCCAGTTCCCAGATTCTACCTAAGACCTCAGTCAATCTCACTGCTAGTACTGGACCACCATCCTTAAAATTTTCTGTACGACTAAATTGTTTTAGAAATGGAAAAACTACCTGACAATCATGAGTGGATCCAAACATAGAAGACAAAAGTACTTCGTAATAAGGAGGGTGGTGAATAGAGAAAGACTAGAACTGTCAACCGTCTGATTGAGACTTTACTATCTGCGTAGTAGGGTCAGAGTTTACGTATAAATGGAAGTCAAAATAAATAGTAGTAATAGGGGAAATACTTAGTAATTACTTTCAAGAAAAAAAAGGAAAATTGACTTGTAAATATAATGCTAACCTTTGTCATGGTCGTCAAATGTCGTCACGTCTTCATAGGGTATTTCTAAATTTTCCTTTGACTGGGAGATATTAAAATCGTGTACTGATTCATTTCCCTCAGTGATTTCTCTGTCTAACACTTCATTTTCTATATATTCATCTTCACTTAAATTTACTCCAGACTGTTCCCTGTGAGGCGTGGTAGTAAAAATTCCTTCATCTATCTCTTGTTCTTCAATTGAACCACGTAGTGCATCTTCTGCAGATTGCATTGCTTGTAGTATGCGTGTCATTTCATGTTCAGTTTGCTCGAGTCTAACACGAAGACGCGACAACTCTTCCGCATCTATAATTTTCGAAATACGAGAAACCAAGTTATTTAGGATTATAGAAGGGGTTTTGTGGAGATTTAGTATTTATTATAGTTGAAAGCGTGAGTCAACTGAAGCTAGACCACCATGGAAAACCTGGACGGCCGTTTCGTTTTATTATGGGGCTCCTCAGCAGTGCGCATCCACGAACCCGCTCATGCGAGATTCGAACCCAGGACCTACCAGTCTTGAGCCGAAGCCCTTAACCGATAGACCACTGAGCTGGCATTATTTATTAATATTTAGGATTTGTAACAATAGATGCGTTGAAACACGATTATGAAATACACGTTAAAGTGCCTGGCTAAATTCCTTTTTAAAGTCGTCCTGATAAATAGTCTGTCAATGAAGTATATAGGTAAGTCAAAATTACATGTAGGTTATAATGATAAGTTGAAACACTCGTTATGTGGGGAAAAACAGTAAATTAAATATCGGCTGGCTATTTAAACAGACGAATGGCGTAGGACCTTCCACACTTTGTATCAACAGAAAAAGGAACATCTGCAATCTTTAAAAACGGAAAAGAGTAAAAAAAGATGAGAAACAAGTAAAAAGACGTTATTAGACGTATATGATAGTCAAATTAAGTAAACAGAACTTACCTAAATCTTGTCGTTCCATTCTCATAAGCAATTTTCCCAAATCTTTGGGTAAACTTTTAGCCGAGCGATAAATATCTGGGTAAGAACCCTTGAAAACTGAACCCCATTCAAATGGTTTTCGACTTGAATCTACATGTTGAAAGAAAAGTAAACAACTGATGTTAATTTCAATCTACTCATTACCTAGCATAGATCTTTGATTTTTAATTAGGCACAGAGATTTTCAAGCCACAATAAGCTAAACTAATGAGTGAAATAATTCTTGTTTCTATTACCACTAAATATTTTCACGTTTTATTAAATTGTCTCTTCACAAGCAGCTTCTATCAGAATAGTGCAGTAGAAATGCAATGGTGAACAAACTGAGTTAAAATGTAGCACTTTATACGTTTCTTTGAGATTTGGGAGGAACAATATTCAGCCTGTTCTACCTAATGTTCTCCAAATGTATTTCTACATATAACTATTTGGGAACTAGTAAACAGTTTGAGAAGTGGATAACTTATATAACAAGCATAACAATAATTAGTAGCATACAAAACTGTAATAATTTGACAAGGATCAATGTGAAGTTATACTATGGTTGTACACAAGTGAAACGTTTTAAACTAAATGTAACAAACCATCACTCCTTGTTGGGTTAAGTGAAAAGGCAAGCAAATTACCTCCAGATGATTTTCTAGGCCTAAGGAAATCTAAATTCGAAGAATTTCCAAATGTGTCTGTTTCAGCGGTGTCATCGTCATCATCGGACGAGTCATGACCCATGCGAAATTTACCCCGATCAACATCATAATGGAAATCACGATAATATTGTCGTAGAAACTCTTCTTTTTTATCAGTATTTTTTCGGTGTTTTGAAGAAAATATCTACAACAGGATGAAAGAGATTATTTGACATATCATTTCATGCATTTCTGATACTTTGTAATCGATAGTGTAATACTGACTGAAGGTAAGAATATGTTAAATCTCAAAACTTGAACAGTTGAGCTACAAGTCTGAAACCTGTATCATTTACTCAAGTTTGCACAAACAAGTCATCTTTTTAGTCCACGAATTAGAATGTGTCTAGTAAGTCGTATTGATCGAAAACTGCTTAAGAACGTCACTTATTTCTGAAACAAAACAAATTACGAATCACTAATAATGAAAGTAACACCAGATATAAATTACAGCAGCGACAAAGTCAAAACAAGGTTACTGATTATTGTGGACTATTGTACGTAGATAGCTGGGGATTACATGTAGCTCCTTAAGTTAGTCAAGGTCTTTCTGACGTTTTTAAGAGTTGAGTACTTGATTTTATCAATACTTTTAACCTTTTGGTGGACAGTTGGCAACCAGAGAGTTGCTGGGAATTAGACGAGCTGTCCTCTGAAGTTCTAAGCTTACAGTTACGACCTTTAGATTTCCAAGTAGATAACCTATCCATATTTCACCACGAAAGTAGCATCTGCTGCCAACCGCTTAGGCCCATTATCTGCGATAGGTTGAAGCAATCGTCTATCATTACCAACCAACGCTATCTTCCTCATCTTCGTTGTCTAATAAAACTTATTGTTTTTACGTAAGCATTATATCAGTCAGCAATAAATTCGGTTTCAATTTTCATACTGTTTGGAGCTCCCTGCATTAATATTGCGGAAAATAAAAGTAACACCTAGACTATATATGTAATTAAAACGACACGACACCGTGACACGGGATTCAATATTTTGATAAATGATCCCCGTCGAACATTGACAACTTCAATATGTAATTTGAACGCGAATTTTAAGTAGCCAGGAAGATATTCTGGGCCCATGTGGAGTACATGTGAAGCGGATGTTGAGGCAAGCCTGTATAGAAGGGGTGATAATAAAAAAAGATAAAACTGAGGAAGGAGAAAGATTGACGATAAGACGGACTCTAGTTTTTTAATGTATAGTTGATTAACATTATTTGATTACACACACCATGAGAAGTCATTTGTCTTTTAAACAACCTAACAAAAGCTACATTAGCCAATAGATCTGATTGAAGCAGGTTATATGAACATTTCGTGAGTGCTTTTTCTCGTTTTAGCCATGTTAAGTTCGCACTTTGTAAGCCTTACAGATCGCCTTGGAAGGAGTTGCGTTGTTGTCAGGTTTGACTTATTCTAGCCCTTTACCACGTTTGTGATGAAGTAGGGTGGGTAGTGTATGACCGTGTAAAACAACTTACTAAGGTTAAACTACAACATAATTGGCAGTGCAGCTTAATTTTGAGACATGAAATTTGCATTTTTGTATTAAACGATTACCAACTAACCTATCCGAGATGGTAAAACCTCAAAAAACAGTTGTTACAGGTTTATTTATTTATTTTACTTGAATACATAAATATTGGTACAATGAGGCAACAGATATATATGTGCTACACAATTCTGTGAGAACTATGATACTGCCCGGGTGTCCAGACCAAATCAGGTAGTTTTCTTAGGGGGCCACACCCAGAGCCTTTGATCTAAAGGTCTAATCCACAGGGCAGTGGAGCAACTTTAGGAGATGCAGTCCTATAGTAGCTGGTGACCAACAATCAGTTCACACGCTATTTGTTTTTTCAGGATCCTGGAGCCCATGTGCACCATTGGTTTAGAATCAGGGTTTCCCAACTCCCCTGGGTGAACTCACCGTGTCCGGTTAAAGAGCCATACATTCGCTTTTCGTCCAGCTAGTATACCTCAACTGGGTTGTTACGATAGACAACTGCTGCGTCAGCGTAGTATCTACAGTATGGGAGATAGTCAATACAGAGTTCGAACAAAGTATTAAATAAAGTATAAGTTGGTACTCTTGTAATGCTATTTCCGAATCTGAGACTACGGTTCATGACAAAATATAAAACTGAAGATTACAAGAAGGAAACAAACAATATCTCACTTTTGAAAGTGTGTAAAACAAATATAACACTATACCAACAGCGTAGACAGGTAAAACGATTGACATAATTCCACCTCTTTTCCCTTGATCCTGTTGAACAATCCCTTCTGAAGCTCTGATAGGTTTTTGTGTGTGATGACCCTGTAAAACGCTCAGTAAAGTTACAAAAACGTACATTTAACCGGAAGTTTTCAAATTTGGTATGCTCTATACACAAAATAATATGGCTAAAGTGGTACAGTACTTACCTTCTGTGTGTCTATTTTTTGTAAAACCCAGTAGATGAAGAAGCATCGGATGAAAGATTTTGGGATAAAGTATTGAGAAGCATGCTATTATAACACCCAAAACCAGATAAGTTTGCACACGAACTGATATCTGAGACATGTTAACAGTCAGTGCATTAAATCTAAAATAGTTTATGTAGTAATATTGAGTTAAAAGTGATATATACATGCATATAGAATAACAGTAGCATCGTTTAATTTCTTCATCAGAAAGGCATTAGGAATTAAAAGACCTGTGTAATATTAAGGACATGCAGATATAGTTGTATCTAATGAAATTTAATTATGTGACAAAACTATACTGCGATCCACCTCCTCACTGGTTTCAACACTAAATTTTAAGAATCTGACTTTGGAGGTACCTACTAAGATTTAACAAGGTAGATAATACAACCAAACTACCGTTTCCTTAGCTTTCGACCTAGCTGGTACTTTTGCTTTTCTGATTTAAATTGAGGAAACTCGGAGGAGTGTACAACTGTTGGGTTAACCAACTAACTGAACAAAACTAACATGAGCCGTTTGGTCTTGTTACCACTACGCAAAAAAATGATACCTACGTAGTCTCCAGTCCGTAACATATAAGTGGATGAAGAAACAGTTGTATTATTATTTGATGGTCACAGGAAACAGATATCCACACAGTAAGACACTTGAGAGCTCCACAGTAGTGCGAAGGCAAAATCAGTTAATGAGGTCATGAATCTTCATCGACTGAGTCACGTGTTACGTATGCCTGAACACCGATTACCACGACGCACAACGCTGACTAGTATTGGGGATGGTTAGAAGAGAGTTAGGGGCGACCAAACCAAAACATGGCATCAGTGCTTGAAGTCACTAACTTCTAGTCTGAGCCATGTTGGTAGATGCAGACTACTTGGTTGGGGCCCGCGCGACTATCGTAACCAATGGTTGGAGACTCTGGGTGACATGGCTCAGAATCAATCACAATGGCATAGGTGTATACACTCTTTATCTTCCCTTAAACCTTGAGATTAAAATTGCTTCATAACTTTTTTCCTTTCTATACTATATCTTTATATACAACCTATGTTTTATATACTACAACTACTAAATCAACTACTTCTATGAATCCGGTGTTCATCTTGTTCTGCGAACGAGATATGGCAACTTGGACCGATGCATATATGTGCCTGATCCTACGTTGTAGCTGACTGACTGAAGGCAAAAAATGAGAACATAACCCATCATACAATGATTTGTTGAAGGCTTCCATGGATCGTTCTGTTTCTTTAAGTTTGCTACCACTTTCTTGGTAAGGTTTGAGGTTTTTGTAACGATCACTTGACAATACAAATTTGGATTAATAGAGCCAAGCTCATTGTAACGGCTTTCTGAGGCATACGACCAAGTGAAAGAAACTTCTGGTTATAGAACGTTTTATGCATAAAACTTTAACAATTACAATCAAGTGCAGTGAACAATCAGTTCATCACTAGTTTCAACAATTGGCCGGCGGTAACATAACACGACTGCTTTTACGCTGGCGCTCCACTATATCATGATGCTTATTACAGGTTTGATATGTAATGACCTAATCATGAGGTAAAGGAAACATTTTCTTAACTTGAGCTTTCTCTTATTTCGTGCCAAAATCCATCACAATAAAATAGTTACGCTCACGAGAACTTAAACACCCCACGGATACTTGAGATCGTTTCAATGAACAATGGATTTGAGAAAAGCTCATCCGAACCTAAAACTTAGGAGCGAAGTAATAATGTATCGCTTCTGCTTACCATTAGCATTGTGGGTTTACTGATACTGAGTGGAAGGAAGATTCTCTTAGTCTAGCTATACCATCTGGATAAGTCAACTTATAATCTGCGTCAAATATTTCCTTCCAAACCTTAAGACCGCTGGCAGATAGCAGGGATTGAGGGTAGTAAGTAGAAAGTCCAGAATTTTAGTGCGGAATTCATACATTCGTGTGGTTACATAATATTTTACATTATTGCTGATGTCAGTTCGAGATGAACGAACTAGCTCTTAGTCTTACCATATCATCTAACTCTGAATCCTAATACTAATTCCCAACGCTGACTCATGAGCACTTTTTTACCTTGGTAGACAGGTTAATATTCCGAAAGTTTCTTTGACGTCGTCCATAAATTATAGCTCAACCTCTGCAACAATAAAATTCCAGTTGTCGGGTTTGCGTAAACTGAAGTTAAGGGAAATATATGCTTTACAGTGTGTGGCGATCATTTTTCCATTTGCTGACTGTGAGTTGTTGACCTGACAAGTAGATGATCGTTAGTATTCGCAGGAATGAAGCTAGGTTGCACGCTAATGTCGAAAGATGGAGGACTTTCGTCATCAAATCAATGATGTTCAAGAAACAGCTATGTCGACCGGCCACGGTTGCGTAACTGCGTGCAGGTGAGCAAGTTTTCTGAGAAACTTGTCGAGATGTGTGGTTTGGACTTAAGGAAGCTGCAAGGTTTCTAGCGAATTCTAGGATATTTACCATAGTTACTGTGATACTAACATCACCCAACGTCAACTGTTTCTCGTAGTCTAGAAACAAATCTTTTTCTTGATAGGTTTCGCAAGGGAGTCTGTGACCATGATGAGTGTTGAGAAAACGAGTGTTGGTATTACGGAGATTTGTCATGTCATAATGCGTTGTTCTGGTTATCACTATAATCAAATCGACATATGCAGCCAGTTTATCTACGGCGTTGTATTGAAACCAGACAAGAACAGCCTGTACGTGTATCTGTTCTTTCTTGATTGTGGAGACCAGTTTCTACACAGCAGAACCAGGTTTCAACATTGCCGGGGCCTGATCGACATGTAGTGAAAATTGGGAGATATAGCAGTCCTAATCATTAAAAATTATCTCCAAGACCAATGCGATGCGTCCATTTAAACCCACATCTACTGGATTGCAATAAACTGATGTTTTTGTCCAACCTAACCTACTGCTTAGTAAACATGTCTTCCTACTTCGCAACTCATCACTCTGACCCGTTGAAGCTGTATATGTACGAACCCATGGAGCACTTAACCGTGATCCCAAGTAATATACCATTGTAAGAAAGAGAATAAAAGATAACATCAGTATCTACTGTCTAAAAGTCACTTGCTTTCTCACTAAACAATCAAAGCACATGTTTCTCACGGCTAAGATGCGACCAACCAAACAACCAACGACCCCGACGAAACGTCTCTATCATCCGATAACCGGCCTGAAAATATTTGCTCTGGAAGAACTGCCAGGCTTCCGGAAAATCTGAATGACTACTACGTGCACGGCATTTTATAAGTTTTTCTATTCTACAGCCATTAGTTTGAATTCTCGTTTTTTATTTCATGAAGAATAAAACAAACAAATGATTTTGAAAATATGTATTTGCGTACAATTCATGTATATTCAAACTAATTGTTTCAGTATGCATGTGTATGCGTGCATTTCTCTCACAAAAACACCCTACTAAAACTTTTTGTACATGATCGTTCTTGCCGCTTCTTGGTGTATATGCGTATAAGCCATTTTGTCATCACGTCTGGCATAATTACGCAAGTGCGAGTGGATTTCGCTATGCGCTTACATTTTCGCTCATTTTTTACAGGAATACTGATCAAGATGATAGAGCAAAGATAGACACGATGAAGTGAAATCTTCACTGAACGTTTTTAAAATAATTATGTACCATATGGAACGTAATAATAAGATAAAAACAACGAGGTGCTACTAGACATAACTAGCTATAAGAAGAGTGTTTACCAAAGACAAGCTCGTTGGGTATAAACTTCTGGTTGGTCATGTCCTGGGGTCACTACTACCACACTGGATAGGGGAAGTGGTATATAGAGGTGGACAAGTCTCCTAAGTGAATAATTTTGTAAGTCTTGGACATTAATGCTAACCGAATTAGTTTTCTTGAAGGCTGAAGGCTCTTGGTTACGCGCAAGCACCAGATCGCCAATGGGCATGATATGCAACGCATCGTTCTCGACATTTAACCAGCATAAATCAAGTACTTCTCAACATACTGAGTACCTTCCAAATATATCTTCGAACTCTTTCATCCTTGACTTCTGTTTTGACTGATTTAAATATTTTTTGAATGTAAATGCGTTACAGAAGATAGCGTTACCAGACTTTGAATATCCATGACAACTTTAATACTTACGGCATCCCACTTACCACGAGGAACTCAGTTGTCAGAAAAGAAAGGGCTACTTTCATTTTCAACATCTAGCTTTTTTAGTTTGATAGTCACATTATAAGTCTCTCAATTTTGCCCCTTAATATGGGTTTCTGGTGCACAATGCGATGATGGAACCTGGCGAAAATGTCAAAAAGTACCTGATGGTTGTGTCCCTGTGAGGCAGTCTTCCATGAAGATAGCCACACAGAGACTCATTGGTATGGTACACGCTACCGCAGAGAGCATGGAAGCTTTCACTTTGTTGCCCTCTTAAGGTATAAAAAATTTTCCAGTGGGAATGTAGTTTGTCATTGACTAAAAGATGCGTGAACAAATAAGCAGGAGGGTGACTGTGCCTTCCTTAAATTCTTGTTAGACTAGTGGTCGTAGTCCATGTGAATCAACAGATTTCTTTAACTTCAACTACCTCAGAAGTCGCTTGATCATGAGAAATCCAAACTTCACTACACTTAAGTAGCAGTGGAATAATGGGTCAGCGGTCTGTAAATGAAAATTTATTCCAGGATAGGAGTGGTTAGATCGTAATTACTTAGCTAGTTGGATAATAACCTCTTTGTCATTGTTGCGTGCAGTCAAGGAATTTTTGTCCAGAAGATTCAGTGAGGTGGGTACATTTCATTTCATCTGACTAAATGAAAGCCTGTTTCATCTTTCTGTATCCCTCACTAGACAAGAGTGACATTTATTCCGTCCCAGTTCACCTTTTGGATGCGTGTCACTTTACACTGTCATAAGTTGTCTGTAAAATTAGGTATATAACTTTTATCTCATCCTATAACCCTAGAATTACATGATGGACGACTGACAACAGGTCTCTTGAAGAACATTCCATCGTTATTCCACGTTAGCGAAGCTCCGTTTGCTCTTTCAGAAAAGCTTTACGAGGTCTACTTTAACAGAGTTTTGATCACGTTTTCTAACGGTATCACAGATGGTACATTTGTCTGGTAAATCAGTTAAGATGCAATATGACATGAAGGTCTGATTATTTTGTCCAAGAGAATCGACAAACTAATAAAACATGAAACACGAGTACCTCCAGTTTTGTAGCATTAAATGGCACTGTACCGTATCTTAGGCGGTGAAATTTCGTGAGTTTTGAGTATAGGGTCTGCTATCATTAAATAACTGGAAGTCTTTAGGACAAGGCTCGCCACCACTGATTTTTTAGTGATGAAATGTTTGCGGAAAGTTGTTATATTTAAATGTCTGTCACACATCAACTTTCTGGCCATAACCATCTCGAATTACTGCACAGGGACTGTATGCTCGATGTGGAATTTTTAAGTGTCATATGCACGAGGCAAGTAATCTTGAGAAACAAACTAGTCTTTGATGAGTTGACTGAAGTTAGAAAAACGAAGTGAGACTTATTGTGTCCTATTTCGCCACGGCGACTTCTAGCATAAAGTTTTTATCCCTATAAGGAATGACACAATGGTTATTCTTAGTTGCCTATTCCTAATTCAAGAGGATAGTTTCAAATCGTTGCTCACATCTAAGAAGTTAGTCTGACAGCTCACTCGAAATGACTTTCGTGATCTCAAAAGGTGATTGAACGTTTATATGGTAAACACTTTTGTTCTAGTATACTTTTCTCCTAGACTATTTTTCCCCTTTTCGTCATCGGAATAACCGTGCAAATCCTAAAATTTCGAAATGATTGAGTGAAAAATGCGTAGGACTTGGTGTTAGACGTTTGACGTGTGTTTAAGGTAGGGGACATGGGAGTTTTCAATTCCTTTTAAGAGACAAGCAATGTAAAATTGTGTCTATGGATTTCAAGATGCCCCAGATATTCAGTGTACGAGGACGCCATTATACGTGATACCTTTGTAATCGAAGTATGCCAAACCAGTCAAATCAGAAGTCAGAAACGAAGTGATTCGAAGATATATTTGGAAGACTATCGATATATGGAGAATCATTCAGTCCAAACTGGCTAAAGTTTGTAAGAGATACGTAGCACGATGTGCCCACTTATGATCTGGTGCGGACGCGTGACCGACCCCCTTTATTTAGATGTGTCCAGTAAAACTAATCAGGTCGGTACCAATGATGATGATTAACAGAACTATTTATTTTGTGAAATTTTTTTAACTCTGCAGGTCTTATAGGCGTTTAATACAGTGTACGCAAATGTTCCTGGATAACAAAACGATTGAAATTATTAAGAGATTTTCTGTATATTAACTCCTGAAACCATGATATATTTGGTCGACGTGTTCCATGGTAATTTTCAGTCTTTTCCGATGTTCGCTAATCAGCGGATCCATGAAATTGTTTAGTAAAATACACCTCATATCCTTTTAATCACGACACTATATTAGACACCCTTTGCATTGTGTTAGGCTTTATTCGGTTTATACCACTATGTAATGCTTTCAGAATAAGTATTTAACAGTGAATGGTTTGTTGCTTCTCAAGACTTGGCAACTGCAGTTTATAGTATGTTATTACTAGTTTTAATCTTCCAAAAACAAAATATTTAGATGTACTGCTGCTTGTAGACGTTTTGAATAAGTAGTCCGAAACTAGATTTCCTCTTCATTTGTAAAACCTACAGAGTTTGTTAGCTTTTAGAATATCTCACTTGTGATTACCAGGCTTTTGATACATTATCTTTTGTTTTTTTATATGATTTACCAGTGTGATTACTCACTACGCGTATCCAAGTCTTGATAATACACTATCACCGTGTTTGCATTCGTTTCAACTCAGTTCATTAGTAATTGTTCAACTTGTCAGTTAGATATTTGTGTCTTCAAGAGGTTCTGATTTCGAGAAACAGTCAAGCTTGCAAACAACAGGGATTTAGCAGTTTTACTACCAGACTATTCCTTCGTGATGAAATGACTGCGATAGGTAAATAGATAGTACGTCTTGTAGACCAAAAAAATAATGGAAAAAGAAATTTTTTGTTTTGAGGTTGAAATGTTATATTTTCCAGACTTTTTCTGAAACTTTTATAGCAACTTGATCAACTTGTTTTTAGAAGATAACGTTTTTATAGGGAAACTTACGCTCATTCAATAAATAAGTTGGATAATTGTCTTTAATTTACACGGTTGACAAGTGTATTTATCCGAATAAGTTTATCACTTCGGTGATAACAGATCTACAGAATCAGTTATCTTATTTCCAGTAGTTTATTTTCTTTTTAGAACTTTATTAAACTGAAAACCTGCCTCCATCAGTTCAGTTTTTAAAATTATACATAGATATCTAGCGAATAGATATTGTTCGGTTTACGTTAATTTTCACGTTCAGAGTTCTGGTGTTTTATCCCATTTGAAAGTAAGAAGGCATTCTATCCAACTATCTATAAGGCTTTGCGCCAAGATGCTCTGGTTTTACAACGGTTCTACAGTTGGACTATGAATGGAAATGTCGACTTGGCATCTGAGGATATTTATTGTGCAATTACCAGTCTCGCCTCAGCAATGTATTACGCAGCTGATAAGCTGTGAAATCAGTGATGATTTAAACATAATTCTGGATAGTCTCATAATACTTGAAGATACAAAGTGAGGAGTTGTGGTGCATTTTTCATATGAAACCTAATAAACTATATCAAGGCAAGAATCAAAAAAAGAAAAAAAGAGGAAAAGAAAAAGACAAGCATTAGTTTATCTATATTGCAGATATATTGGATGACAGTTTGAGAATGTATTATTTACTCACTAAATATGTCTATCTTTTAATATTGACCAAATATAACCTAAAGTAGGAGAAGGACAGTTTATGGTATGATTTTACGAGATTTGTATCTTGCAGACTGCTACTTTAAAATGTATACTGTTAACCAAAAAATGTATTAAAATGTGTTTGTCTGGTAAGACGATTGAAAAATGATTTTTATAGATTTACGATTAATGTTCGTAGTTCCAGTATCTTGTAATCTTGATAGAACATGTGCTTAGGAATGTTTGTCCGTAAATTACATTTTTTTGCTTAGAAGTTTGATTATAATGGCTGGTGATCGAGGATATTCAGGTAGCGATTTTGCCGGAAACAACTTCGAGGAGTATGATGACGAGGAGTACTGTGATAGAGCAGATGATGATGATGACGATGAAGAGGAAGATGATGATGAAGATGATTATAAAGAGGAAAATGCTCGTCAGGAAACGGAAGAACAAGCACGAATGCTACTTGAAAAAGCCAAGGTATTTTTTATTCCTTAATATATTCCCTCATTACTCCATACATTTAAAAGCAAGATAGAGTATTTAAGGGAATTTTTATCTTTGATACCAAGTTGAATAAATTGTTGCCGTTTAGCTATAATACTAAATGTTTGACACTTTTACCATTTTCGTAATCAATTTGATTTTACCGCTTGAGAATTGATTAAAAGCCTTAGTTCTCAGTTATTTGCAGAAACGCAAACCATTTCACCTTACAATATAAATAATTGACAAAATTATATACAATTGTTTCATGAAGGTGTTTCTCAGGAGGAGAGTTGTTATGAGCTGATTATATGAGGTTTTTGACCTACCATTTACATATATATATATATATATATATATATATATATATGGGAAGTATTGTTCAAAACTAATTTTAGTTCTAATGGTTGAAACATAGTTTGTCCGTGGAATTAGGAAAAGCACCAGTGTTTGGTGTTTATGTATATGGTTTGTGGTTGATAAGTATGTGGAATCTTTTTTGATGACAATTTTGAGTTACTTTTTATTTTACCGATGGCTATTTACTTTTGTAGATTAGAAATAACATTGATTTTTCTGGCCATCTTTACGAAACCATTCCCATGTCCGAAATAAACTTTTATCACTAGTCTCTGGTAGTTTGTTTTGGTGTTAAAGAATACCTACATAGTTTGATTATTTATAATGGTCACAAACTCGTTTATACATTGAAAATTTTACTGATTGTTTTCCACAAACTAGACATCCAAGGTTGTTTTCGTCGTGCGAACAAATGTTGCGTTTCATGGGTCAGTGGTTGATGATTGCCCTGTTCCTGGAATGGCTGTCAGTTTCCAAGTAAGTTTGTCTATTAAAAATAAGACAAGGAAATAAACAACATTTGTTAGATGTTTTTTATGATTATGAACGCTAAAATGATCCTCAGATTAGCTAATATTGATGATTTATAAGTATGATGAAACGCGTATCCTGGAAAACATTGGTAGCCACTATCCGGAAATATGATAAAACCTGTAACTACCGCTAACATTCATTCAAAGTGGAAATACTCCAATAGAGACTGATCAAAATTCAGCATAAAGTATCAACAACGAGCAAACGCAAATATTTTAAAGCTAGCATTGTTTGGATTATCTTTTATTAATTATTGTAGTACATAGTTAAGGTATTGTAATTTCTAAAATAAACGTTCTTAAGATTTTCTTGTGTTATGTATACAACATAGTATTATGATAGGGAATTATTGGTGAATGTACTAATTCATTTAAAGAATTGGATTCAACTTATCTAACTGCGATTTTGTCTTAATAGAGTTTTTTTCCTTAGGGCATAAATTTTGCGTCGTACAAAAAACTGTGAATTATTTGCGTTATATCTGTTAATTAAATAGTGAGCGATGTAAGTGGGTTTACAGATCTTTAGTACCTTAGTATTGTGCCACATCTTAAGGTTTCCAATTTCAATTTCTAGAGATCAACCTCTAATCTAATCACCTATGGGGATATAATTCTGGCAGAGGGCTTAGATAGTATCATGTTTTTTGTTAAATCTTGTTGTTGTAAGGAAAAGTCTCCAAAGTAATTTTTTCAGAAGTTATCTGGTGTATCCGTTCTTTTTATAAATCACGTCAACATTATTCGACTGTATAACAAAATAAGTATACATAACTAAGAAGAACCTTGCTAATAGAATATGATTGTCTCACGGCTTTCTTGGCAGTGAATCTTTACGTATTTTACAAAACTTTCACCTAATCTTCCAGGTTCTAAACTGCTCAAAATTTACATTCACATATCATCTTTTAACTTATTTTAAGAATATTTAAGACCTATTACATGGTTATGTTCCAGTGTGAGGATTCACACTGAACTGCAAATAGCTGAGATGAAACTGAAGTCGTTTAGATCTTTTGGTCTGGTTTGGGAAAAATGTACTCAATAAGCTATGATTGATTTATAACACTTAGGTGGGGAAGTTCGATAAAATCTAGTCCTTAAAAGCACTGTTCAGACGTTACAATTTATTATATCTATAAAAAAACGACCAATGCCATTTTTTCTCCATTAAGGAACTGTGTTGGGAATGATAATAATGACAATGATAATAATAATGGTGTTAGTAGTAATAGCAGGAAAACGGAAAAAAATGTAAACGAAAGTAATTTAATTGTCGTCTCTACTAATTAATATCGGTGAACTAATAAATAAAAGTTAGCTTACAGGACAAATATATAATGCTGTGTCTGGATTAAACAAGAGTGTTCACTAGTCACCTTTCCAAAAAGTAAACATATGATTCCCGAGTTTCATGATAAACTCACTAGCCTTTACATTATGGGATCGTAAGCCGTTTTTGTTGCAGTTGATACTTTCAATCCCAATTGTTATTGTACTGAAATTGATTAGAAAGTTGTACCTTATTTAATAGTTGAATATGAACCATTTTATATGAGCATTAATTAAGACTTAATTACGTTCAAAAAGCTGACGACATATAATCTATCATTTGAAAATGATGTCTAAAATTGCTAGACAGTGTTTAGAGAATTTTTTTCGAAAATGTTTGTTTATACATGTGTCTAATTGTATCGTTTTCGGTCTTTTAGAAATACTAATATAAAACCTAATGCATTGAAAATAGTAAAGCCACCGAGGCTATGGTGAACATACAAGTTGCTTTAAGGCCATGGTGCATATATTGAAATCATCTGCCGATTATGGGAGGCAATTTTACTGAAAAGTTGTTACTTACTGATAACATTATTATCAATAAGTTTACTGAAAGAAACATTTTAACCTATTTGATTAACAGCAGATAAGATTAAGATTTAAAGTTTAAGATACATAATTTAGATATTCAACATAACATTTAGAATCAAGGGTTTGGTTTGGGATTACGATGTCAATCATAAGATTTGGGAGCTAAAGTAGGATGATGCGTTGCACTTAACACAGACTAGGCGCAAAACAACATTCAAATCGGGAACTATATTCTTAGTTCTAGCTGTAACTCTGTATTCCCGAGTTCTTCACTTTAGCACTAAATACTGAACTCCACATTCTAATTCTAAAGCCCAAGTTACTGTCCTAACAATTCACTTCTGCTTAAATAGTTTAAGATGTTTTAAAACATCACATCCTGAATCCCATATTCTACATCCTAATCAGAAATCATTGACCAACCTAACCCTTAGTATTAGTCCTAGTATGGTAAATTATTCACTAATCCTTGTTGTTTTCTGACTAGTTAAAACAGGTTTAGATCGATCTATTCCGAAACCTTACTCATCTATATGCCTTTAGGTTAAAGATTTTCTGCATATTAAAGAAAAGTTTAATAATGAATGGTGGATTGGTCGGTTAGTGAAAGAAGGCTGTGATGTTGGCTTTATTCCGTCACCAGCGAAATTGGAGGCTATGCAAAATTTCAGTGCTAGAGGTATGAGGTAAGTATATTAACCTTTTTTTCATCATTTTAATATAACGAACATCATGTGTATCAAGTTTGTGCCTACCTATGAATATGAATAGTTAAGCGCTCACTCGCGAAACCAATGATATCGATTTCGATTCCTGGTGGCGAGGTCGTGGATATAAACTTCTGACGAGTCCCACATCAGGACAACTCAACTATCCGGTACCTCCTGTTTTCGATGGTGATCTAGTTAATATCAGTCCGTTATTTGATTTTGCTGTTCAACTCGATTTTATCTGTGATTGTATTGTGTACGTGTTTGTTTTGAATTTTTCTTTTTAGCAAAAGTTCTACGGGTAATTTTGATAATTCACGAACTGGGAATTCAAGGCCATCAACACCGCCAGGTATTTTGGGTTTGTTCTTATTTCGAACCATATATGTGCAAAACCACCCATAACTTTTTCCAGTGGAGATCATGTTATAACAATTCAAGTTTTAAATTGTATTTTGAGTCTACCTTTAGTTATCAAAATTCCTTCTCAATATGGACCTCTAATTAAAAAGCTTTAGTTCTTGCTATTCACAGAAGAGTACTTCATCTCATTTGTAAATCTCTATAACATTATTTCTATAATATTTTAACTCAGAATTAATAAATATAAACCACTGGGATTTTTGATCAGTGTGGTCAAATTTTGTCTCATTCTTTGTAAATGGAGTACTCATATTTGTTTTGTCCATAAATTTGTCTTAGGTAAAAGCATATATGAAATTATATAAGTTCATCGGTTATAAACAATAAAGAACGAAGTATAAATATGCATAATATCAGTTTATCACACTTTATAGCAGCGCTGAAATTAACTTGACCAGTGACTGAAAATAAAAAAAAGAGGAATAAATGCAGGTCAGATGAACTACTCACTAGTATTCTTCCCCTACATTCTTCAAGAGTATCATAGATAACTGTCTAATCTCTCATATATGGTATGTATGTAATCTATCGATTTTGATATTACGCTATAGCTTAATATCCTGGAAAAAGTCACAAATATATAAACACTTTATTAATCCTAATGATTTAAACACGTAGTTGTTTTTAGATTTTCTAGACTTCCCTATGGAAAGAAAATCAATAACTACAAATATACACCCGCTTATTATTCATATGACTATTTTGGTTTGTGTATATACCTAACGCATTATAATTTATGTTAGCTGAAATTAGGTGAATAGATTTGTAATTTTCTAAAATTGATCACCATATAAATGAAAGTTATTTGTTGAATATCATTTAGTGAGACACCTTTTTTTAACGAACCCATCCCTTGATAGGTGATTTTTCTTCACTCATTAGAAAACTTTATGTAATGGTTAGACCTGCAGTACAAAGAGCTGACAAGCAGAAATATGTGGAAGACCTACCAACAACAGCGGAAAAGGCTGTAACAGAAGGAAATATCGAACAACCATGTGACACGACGAAGAAACTAGCAGGGAAATATCATAAACCAGAGAGACCAGTCAAGGACAAGGAGGACAAGACAATCATTGAGATTCAAGAACAGGGGGACAGGTGGACAGAACACTTTGAGGAACTCCTGAGTAGGCCAGCTTCATTGAATCCATCGGACATCGAAGCAACACACACAGGCCTTCCTATAGCTGCCACTCAATCAGCGATGGGAGAAGTGTGGATGGCTATCAGACAAATGAAGAGTGGGAAGGCAACAGTTGAACCGCACGACATGCCAGCTAAAGCGTTGAAGTCAAACGCAGACGTAACTGCAAACATGCTTCACGTTCTGTTGAGGAAGATTTAGGAGGGCGAACAATTGCTGACTGACTGGAAAGAAGGATACCTCATCAGGTTACCAAAGAAAAGAGGTCTGAGCAGGTAAGAGAACCACAGAGAAATCACACTATTATAGGTACCAGGGAAAGTTTTCAACAGAGTGTTACTAAACCGGATGAAAGACTCAGTAAACGACCGATTTCGTGATCAACAGGCTGGATTCTGTAAGGATCAGTCTTGCATGGACCAAATCGCGACTCTACGGATCATCGTTGAACAATCAGTTGAGTAGAATTCGTCACTATACATTACCTCATTTGATTATGGAAAACCGTTTGACAGCGTGGATAGGAAAACGTCATGTAATCTTTTAGACACTATAGAGTACCTTGGAAAATCACCAACAACATGGGGAATTCATGCGACACTGCAAAGTGGTGAATGTAAGCCAGCTAACATATGCATTCCGAGTGAGGACCAGTGTCACACAAGGCTGCTTACAATCACCCATTCTCTTTCTTCTAGCAGTTGACTGGATTGAGAAAACCTCTACATCTCAAAGAAAGCATGGAATACAATCGACAGATTGGTCGCTACTAGACGTTTTGGACCTCGCAGATGACCTAACTCTTCAATCATATACACACCAACAAATGAAGATGAAGACAACTAGTGTAGCAGCAGCTTCCGCATCAGTAGGCCTCAACATATACAAGAGAAATAGCAACATCCTCAAATACAACACAGACAACACCAATCAACCCAATCACACTTGATGGAATCTTTCACGTACCTGGAAAACATCATCTATGAACAAAGAGGATCCGATGCACACGTAGAGGCAAAGATTGGCAGAGCAAGGACAGCATTCCTACAGTTGAAGAACATATGGAACTCAAAACAACTCTATGCAAGTTAAAATCAAAGTCGCAATCTCCAACACGGACAACAAGACAGTTGGTTCTAATGTACGGAGCTGAAACGTGGAGAACTACTACAGTCATCATCAAAAATGTGCAAGTATTTATAAACAGTTGTCTGCACAAGATACTCAATGTCTGTTGACCAGATACCATCAGCAACAACCCATTGTGTCAGAGAACAAACCAGCTTTCAGATAAGGAGGAAATTAGGAAAAGATGCTGTTAGTGGATAGGATATACGTTACGGAAATAATCAAACTGCATCATTATGCAAGTATTAACTTGTAATGCTGAAGGTAAGCGGAAAAGAGGAAGGCCTAGGAACATATTGCGTTGGGAATTGAAAGTGGCCATGAAAAGGATGAATAAAAACTAGAAAAAACTGGGAAGGGCTACCCAGTATAAAGTTGGATTGATAAGGCTAGTGGGTGGTCTTCGCCCCTCTAGGATGGTTAACAGGCGTAATTAAGTAACTACCAGTCAAAAAATTGGAAAGTAAAGAAAACCGTCTTAAAATAACTATTGTTTGCTGATCATTCGGTTTTATGAGGAAGAATATAACTCTTTGTTCGATAATCACACCAAAATCTGATAAGGTAACTGATTCCCCAATGTTCCCACATATTCATTGCTTAATTAAAATCAGGAAAGTTTTAGGTTTTATCTGTAGGTTATCTACTGTCTATTATTTTCCTTCATTTTCCGGACCATGAGCATACGTATCACTTCATTGTTTTAGTTTTATTTCTTAATTTGTAAACGAGACTCTACTTCAGGAATTATTTCCAATGGTGAAGCTAATTGTCTTAAGAGAATGAGGTAATAGGTCGCAAACCATGATTACGAATTATCGTATGTATGTATGATTTATGCTTTCTATTTGGTCTAAGGTAATACACACCTTTTTAATCTATACATATTTATTTTGTAATGAAGCTATGATGAAATTATTTTTTCCTGATAACCGTGCTCAGTATCATGATTAGAGTATATTTTTAAAGTATGCACATATTTTATAGTTCTTAAGAATTTTCTTTGATTATAATAATCATCACACGATTTATGGCTTTCAACTACAGCTGATGGTGCCGACACAATTAACAGAAGTTATGATGAAGACAGTAATGCTAGACGAGAAACACCATCCGGTAAAGCGTCCGTTAGTGCAAGAAGTGGTCGTAAGCCATTTTTTAAGAAAGTGAGTAGAATGAGACCATTTGTTTTTCAACTTTTGTTAATTTTTTATGATGATAGTACATATGTAATACTTGACTGTACTATTGAAGCGTTAGCATTTTGTGTTATCTTGACACCTTCAACTAATTGTTTGAAAATATTTGTTATTTTGGTTTAGAAAGATATAAATTTGTAACTCCCAACTTTCTTAGCCTTTGTTTCTGCTAACATCTGTGATCATTTGATTTATTCTCTCTAAAATTGTATATCTATCGATATATCATAAAGTTTTATCTTAATTTCGCTGAAATTTTTTTAAAAAGCTTGTTCAGAAACTATTACATCTACTTACTGTCATTAATTCAGTCCACGATGAGGTCCTTATCATGTGTTCAAGTTTAAATAATTGTGCTTCGACTATCAAACTGTTGGCTCGTAATGCGTCCTGTCAACTTTCTGTTTATTAAATGGTTTATGTCTCTATGTTTTACAATGACAGTGTGACCGTAAACCGAATATATGAGACTTTACTTGAAAACAGACTTTCATTAAACTACACAAAAGTACTTTCTGTGTGTAAACTGCATTTAATAGCCGTTTAGATTATTTTATAAACTAAAATTACAAAATCTTTAGCCTTGAAGTCACTCTTGGTGTCCGATTGAAAGTATGGATGAGAAATAAAGGTATGTAGGATAAAAACATTTAGATTGTTATTCACGTTTTACAAATATGATTGAAATACGTTGATTATATTTTTCTTTACATTCCTAGCATTTAGTAAATGTTCTATTTAGATGCAGTTTGATAAATTGAATATTTGAATTATTCAAAGCCTTTCGGTTATCTTTCTTTTCATTGTAACACTAGGTTTGAATACTCTACCACAAACTGTTCAAGAGACATTTAAAACTAATAATATGTAGATTACAATTTTGATATTGAAATAAAGCTTAAGATAAATCACGCAACTGTTAAATTATTAGTAGATCTGGTTAGATCGGTGATAAATTCAAAGTATAAAATGAAACAAATGTTCATTGTTCCGTGATTTTCAGTGGTTATGTATTTGAAGTTCCTCTGTAATGTAAGTTACAAAACTGAAGATCACAGAACGTTTTAAGTTATTTTTTCTATATAAGACGAAACAATCAAAACACTGATACACACTTCATATGATATATCAAAATTACTTCTCATGCGAATATAACGGGTATTACTGGGAGTAGAATTGAAGAATAATATAAACATTTCAGTATAAATCTAGGTGTACATGAATATAAAAGTAAAATACGTAAATTTTATCTTTCTTTTAAAGTTATTTACGATTTAACTTTCTTCAGTAATTAATAAAGTTAATATATTTGTAATATCTCAATAAGTAGAAGAATTAAATTTTTAAATTTTGATATTTCATATCTCGGTGTATGCCGCTTCTGCAGAGAGTAAATAAACAAATTAAATTAACCCATGTTTAAATAGTACGAATGAACAAGTATGGCCAAGTCAATGACGTATCATTCCGGTCAAAGGTGATTTTTGTGTATTTGTGTGTATGTATGTTAAAGGACGAAAAACATGTGACATTTATGATGCGAAAGGGTAGAGTTGAATTTATCACTATAGGGTTGTGGAGATTGTTGAGTTTAGGTTGATATCATTAATGGATGAATGTTAGACCACCATTGAAAACCTGATGTGAGATGTGAATAGAATGAAACTTGGTAGGTTGGATAGATGGTCGAAATCGGATGGATAGTGATGCTTTCTTTTTTACTTAGGGCAGTAGGACGAAGCAATATATTGAAAGCTTCAGCTACTCGACTTTTTTTGTATTTGGATATTGAAGAACATCTTTATACAATCGAAATGCCTCCTTTTGCCGATATGACTTATATCCGTACTATTCAGTTTACTGCGCTTCTAGACTCATCATCAGTCAAAAGTATGGCTATAGAGCTATCTCCACTCGGAAATCAATGCGCATGGTGGCTTACATGGACAAAAGTATTCGTGAAAAAATTAGACCACTTTTTATCGTGAAGTGTATTTTCAAATAATAGTTTTCGTGTATCTAAATACAGTCTAGAATATCGAAAATGGGATAATTCAAATCATTACAAATTATAATAAAATTCATACACGTTTCACATGATGATGTCTATATGAGTGGCTCACTTGATAACGTTTTGAGTGTCTGAAGCGAAAGATACTAGGTTCAAATCCCAGTGGCAATACCAATAATAGGATGTAGGCATCTCCAGCTGACAAATTCCAAGTAGGACGAGACGAGCATCTTATATTCTGTTATTAGGTACATCATATCTATTCAATAAAAAGTAGTTTTCATAGTTATCTAATTTTTCTACTCATTGGGATATTACAAATGTATTATTTATTTATAGTTTTCGTAGTTATGTTTGTTTTCTGTGGATATAGTTTCATGAAGTATTGTAATCATGGAATCAAGGTAAACTTCTATGATGATCCATTCACAATAACTCATTATCAGTTATTTTTATCTAATCAAAAACTAAGCTCCTGTTTACTGACATTTAATGAAGAGTACTTCCTTCATTCATAATTCTTTTCCTTGTGTGGATCACTCAATTATACATGCATTTTTAAATATTACAGAGTGATAATTTGCCTCCATACGATGTTGTACCATCTATGCGTCCAGTAGTCCTTATTGGTCCTTCTTTAAAAGGTTATGAAGTGACTGACATGATGCAGAAAGCCTTGTTTGACTTTTTAAAACGACGTTTTGAAGGAAGGTAAGGCTTTGTTTTTTACTATATATATATATTTATATATATAATTGTTTTAACTTAATTCATTAAGAGGTTTTAGTTTTATTTTAACTGGAAAATTCTCAGTTTTCAATTGATTCAACTTCTAGTTGGCTAATGAGCTAATAACTATTGAACATCTATATTATTCTATGTAGAATATTACTACTGATATGTACAAAAAGTGAAAGATAGGATAGAACAGCGAATCTTTTAAGTTTTTCCCTGAGCACTGTTGTATTAAATGCTGAAGATGGTATTCGTTAACATAGGTGTTTTGATCTTAGCCTATTTGTAGAATAATGCGATAATCATCTAATACCATTTTCTAGTGAGATCAGTTGACTAGTAGTGAAATAAGCTTTCCTCAGTCTTGGTAAAAATCCCTCATCTATTTTGTCAGCGATAATAAGTGGGAAGTAGTTTGTGACCGTTAATATTTAACAATGATCAATCCTTACTACAAGTTGATTGAAATTAGAAAAAGTCGGCCATTTGGATTCAGACTCAGCATCTTTTAATTACCAAATAGTGGTTAGCAGTGGAATCCAGGACGCGTGTTTCGTCCTATCCGGCACTCTTCAGCTGGATGTACCTGCATTTCAGAGTTGATGTTCATTCTGGGACTCGAACCCTGTACCTTTCGCTTGAGACGCCATCGCGTTATCCACTCGGCCACTGTGATCGTCTTATGTCCTGGATCACATGGTTCGGTTTCATATAAGATCATTGATACATGTTACTGAGGTGTTCAAAACTAAGGTTAAATATCTACCAAGTATTCATGGGTTTTATTGGTTCTTCAGTTAACTTAAATCCTTAACAATAGTGTTTAAAGTGAACTAATCTCTTTACAGAATTTACTCAACTAATCAATGATAATTTTGATGATGTTTTCTTCTCCTAATATATACACCTTAGATAATTCATTTTTTGCTTAACTTTGTTTATTTTTTATTTCAGAATTATCATAACTAGAGTGACTGCTGACATATCACTTGCTAAACGATCCTTACTTAATAATCCTACTAGAAGAGCTATTATGGATAAATCTTCTACAAGAAATCAATCATTAGGTAAATATTAAATTATCAGGAGCTTTGGTCATATTATTATTTCATTAGGTAGTCAATCTAACATTTGTGCTGACGAAAACTTTCCAAACATAATTTTTTTCTATCACGTTAGCTAAAATCTAATGTTAGATTATTTTAAACAATTTATAAGGAGATGAATTGTGGCTTGCAGCGCAATCCAGGACTCACGTTTCGTCCTATTTGGGACTCTTTGGTTGGATGTACCTGCATCCCAGGGTTGATGTTCACTCTGGGACTCGAAAGGTACTGGGTTTGAGTTCCAGATTGAACATCCACTCTTGAATGTAAGTATGTTCAACCAACAAGTCCTAAATAGGACGAAACACGCGTCCTGGATTCTAGTGTTGTCTAATGCCCATTTTTGCTTATAATGTTAATGACTTGATGTCGATATCTCGACAATCCACACAGTATACACATATGTCAAAAAGGAATTGATCGAATGGCTTTCTAAACATCAGTAGGAAGATTCAAACAACCAGTACAACCAGTATCTGTACTGATATCAGTACAGATATAGCCTATCATACTCAAGTAGCTTTAGTGGGTATGTAACTACTTGGATGTATGTTCCACATAAACTAAAACTGATGAGGCGAAATTGAATCCCTTTTACTAACTAAGGAGCTGAAACGCAATTCGACCGGCCAACTTATGAAACACAAACACTAGCGATTCAGATTTGGTCTGTCAAGACATTTTCTATCCATAATCACCGAGATTTGATAGATAATACTAGATGAATAAGTACTGAGAGAGCTACTAGGATTTAATGTAGGAACTGAGTGCTATAAGTAGAACTATTATGTATAACCTTGAAGATCACCCATCAAGTGTGATCTAACGATGTCCGTCTCAAGTCTCTGCAACTGGTCACATAGTTTCAAAATGAAAGCTTGAAAATTTCTCCTTTTCAAAAGATTTTGTTAAAAGTTACTATGAATGAAATTTTTCCCAAATAATATCTGAAGGTTTTCAGTGTTCAGTCAACTCCAGTAAATATTCCATCAACCTATAATTTTCACCTGCCTTTAGATAATCCAGTATTTTATCCAGTTTTTGAATAGCTTCTTTTATAATCTGACATTGTGAAATTACCGTAGCTTTTTGATGGTTACCTGTATTCCATATAATTTGTTCTTGTATATGTTTTGTTGTTGTCGTTATTGTTGTTGCTTTTCTTCTTGGTTAAAGAGGTTCAACAGGAAATCGAACGCATATTTGATTTAGCTCGTACACAACAACTTGTTGTACTGGACTGTGATACAATCAATCATCCAAGTCAATTATCTAAGACATCTCTTGCACCAATTACAGTTTATTTAAAAATAAGTTCAACAAAAGTACTTCAACGTTTGATTAAAACACGAGGTAAATCTCAAGCACGAAACATGAATGTTCAAATGGTTGCAGCCGAAAAACTCTTACAATGCACTAATGTAAGTTGAGAATAAATTAACTATGTAAACGTTGTTCTTTCAATTAAACAATAATCCTTTTAATATTCTCTAGAAATGTTTATTTTCTAATAAAGATTTCAGATGTTGGACTTATACGAATAAGACTGAATTTTGTTAATGATCTCTGCGTACAAGATCCTACACGTATACTTGTATTTATTCAAGTGAAGAAAAAATCTGCAATCTACTGATAAATCAAGATAATTGAATGGGCAAAACAATTGTGAGATTAGACATAAAAAGGGAAATCATTAGAAAGTTTAATTGAGAATATCCTGCATTAAAAACTAATTTATATTACAATGGTTTGAACACTCTATTAGTTGATGATACTCACCACATAGTTCAGGTTCATAGTGAGTATTGCACAGTGATTTATAACTGGTTCGGTTTTGATCAGTACACTATTTGGGAATGTTTTTTAGTCAACGTGTTGCTGATATATATTCCTGTCATGGTTTCTGACAGCCGTTATCATTATGAATAGTTCAATAATGGTACACTTTCATAGATTCATTTCGGTAATCAGATCAAAGATTATTTATCTGGTTATTTTGAAGTTTTGGGGATTTTTAAAAAGTATCCCACAGTTACTGATAACTTGCCTGTTTGATCAATAAAACCAAGAAAGATCAATAGTCTGACTTCTAAAACTTACTGAATTTCATCAAAACTGCTGACTTGCTGAAATCAGTTCTGTCATATGTTGATTTCTTGTGAGTTTTTTTACAGTTAATTATTAGCATCTTTCAGCAATACTAAACGTAAAGGTAAAATAAAGTAGGTTAATTTATTTTGTTTTTTAATTATACGTTTATCAATTTTTTTAGGATCAGTTTGATGTGATTTTAGAAGAAAATCAACTTCCAGATGCTTGTGAACATTTAGCTGAATATTTAGAAGCATATTGGAGAGCCAGTCATCCAACTGGTAAAGTCACAAAAGCTGAACGTATCCTTGGAATTGGGACAGGTGCAAGCTCAAATCAATCTACTGAAAACGAGATGTCACATGGAACGCATCGGCGTCAAAGTAATGCATTTAAAAATGACAAAAGAAAAGGCAAAATTGATCAAGATTATAATGGATCTAGAGATTATTCAAATTCCATTTCTTCACCAAGACGAGGTTCGACTCAATTCGAAAATAATAGACAACGTTATGTAGATGAACAAGAATTACTTTCAGATGGTAGGTACAGTTGTAAATTACCGCAATTACAAATATATTTCCTCTTGTTGTATGTTATTAACTGATTATCTTTGGTTGGAAAAATCAAGAATTATAAATGGAAATTAGTAGAAATACTTCGAAAATTAATTACAATTAAGATGTTAAGTTTGCAGTTATGCCCTAGAATTGAATTTATTGATCTAAATCACTGAATTTCAAATGAATGTGTATTATTTGAATTAGTTATATAATCATTACTACTCAAATGATAGAGGAAGAGTACAGTAAGTCGAAATAAGAATTATTTCGCAAGGTTTTCCATTTATCCATCACTTCATGAAAGGTTTTGTATTTTATCATTATAGTGGCAATATTATTAATCAGAATATTATTATTTTTGCCGACCATTTTTATTCAACTATAATTGTTCATCCCTACTAACCCACATTGTTCAAGCATGTAAAAGGTTTAATGAAAAAATAATTTCTCATGGCTTTAAAGATTTTGATTGCTGCTACATACTACTTATACCTGTCAGCATAAGTAACATGAAGCACACTACTACAACTTTTTTTCAAAAAAGCTTTTTTTAATTTTATCAGCAGATGATTATCGTTACCAACCACATAATGAAATACGGACCGTCTGGAATAATACTGAAAAGAATAATTATTCTCCATCTCATGAACCTCGTTTATCGTCTAATCAGGTAAATTTATATACTAGGTCATTTACTCGTTTATACTACATGATAAATTGTTATAATATTGTACTTGAAATTTGAGAAACGTCTTGTGAATCAGTATAAATATCTACGACAGGAGTGAGTAAATTTATTTTAACAACATGGCATAAAGCTCCGTGAAGTGGTTGGTAACAATAATACCGTTTACTTTTCATTCACAGATATGTCACTAAATTGTGTTTTTACAACTATTTCCCCTTTAACTAGTAAGTGTATCGAAAACATTGTCTAAGTTGTGTAAACCATTGCCGTGACATTATATTATTATACTTTGCTAGATTAACTATTAATTACTTACGCCAGTTAACCCTCATGGAGGAGCATAAGCCGCCGACCAGGATTTCCCATCAAACTCGGTTCTACAAAATCCCATACAGTTTTTTCCAGTTTCGATTCATTCTTTTCATGGCCACTTCCAATTCCCAACGCAATATGTTCCTAGGCCTTCCTCTTTTCCGCTTACCTTCAGCATTACAAGTTAATACTTGCATAATGATGCAGTTTGATTATTTCCGTAACGTATATCCTATCCACTAACAGCATCTTTTCCTAATTTCCTCCTTATCTGAAAGCTGGTTTGTTCTCTGACACAATGGGTTGTTGCTGATGGTATCTGGTCAACAGACATTGAGTATCTTGTGCAGACAACTGTTTATAAATACTTGCACATTTTTGATGATGACTGTAGTAGTTCTCCACGTTTCAGCTCCGTACATTAGAACCAACTGTCTTGTTGTCCGTGTTGGAGATTGCGACTTTGATTTTAACTTGCATAGAGTTGTTTTGAGTTCCATATGTTCTTCAACTGTAGGAATGCTGTCCTTGCTCTGCCAATCTTTGCCTCTACGTGTGCATCGGATCCTCTTTGTTCATAGATGATGTTTTCCAGGTACGTGAAAGATTCCATCAAGTGTGATTGGGTTGATTGGTGTTGTCTGTGTTGTATTTGAGGATGTTGCTATTTCTCTTGTATATGTTGAGGCCTACTGATGCGGAAGCTGCTGCTACACTAGTTGTCTTCATCTTCATTTGTTGGTGTGTATATGATTGAAGAGTTAGGTCATCTGCGAGGTCCAAAACGTCTAGTAGCGACCAATCTGTCGATTGTATTCCATGCTTTCTTTGAGATGTAGAGGTTTTCTCAATCCAGTCAACTGCTAGAAGAAAGAGAATGGGTGATTGTAAGCAGCCTTGTGTGACACTGGTCCTCACTCGGAATGCATATGTTAGCTGGCTTACATTCACCACTTTTCAGTGTAGTCTTACGTATGAATTCCTTATGATTTTTTCAATCGTCTATTCTGGTTGACGTTTTTTAGCGAGTTTGTTTTCAACGGGATACTGTTGCTGACCTTATTACCAACGCATCTTCTCTACCCGGGCTTGAGACCAGCAGTAACCCTAGAAAAGTTACAAATGGATTTACTTTGCTAAGTAGTATCGCAAAATATCTCTTGAATAATATTTTGCTTGATATTTACTAAATTATTCTACTATACCTCTTATAATTACAATTGATCCAATTTTTTATGATAACTCACAAGAGTTTGTATTGTCCCACTGTTGATATTCAAAATGGGATTTTAATCTATCTTTCTTGGCATGTGTGCTTATAAACAGATGCCTCTTTATAACGTTTTTCATTGTAAGTTAAAAGAAAGACTGAGTAAAACTCAATATCAAATAAAAACGTGATAACACATATTCTTACTAATGATTATTGCAAACGATAAACAAACTAGTGCTATCTGGATTCAATAACTTAGTGTATAATGCGTTTGAATTCCAGTTGACAGAAACTACATGTGAGTTTCAGTATGATCGTCAAATCTTAAATGGATATATATATATATATATATATATATATATATATGCTTATGGTACATTGATAAACGAAATACTCAACTGATGTAAATCAAGCATAGCATGGTGGAAAACACAAAATCAGCATCTGTGTAGATAAATCCAGAAAAAGTTGGTTGAAGTACATTTAGTTGCGTTTTGTGCTTTATTTAAGATTGTGGAAACAAACTTTTTATTTGACCGATCATGACGAGAAAAAAGTTGAAGCCAATTTGTATTTTGATCAGTCGGCTCGATTTTTTTATTAATATACGAATATGTTTGTATATTACATAGCAGGCATTGCAGCATGACAGACAAATGAAAGAATCTAATCGCATAAATCCTACATCTGTTGGAATTCATAACAGATATAATCATCCTCCACAATATGATACTGAAGAATCTGATTCACCTATGGAGAATGATGTAAGAGTGTGATTATTTATTTGATTGGTTAATTTAACACTTTTTAGTTGGCTTTTTCATTTCCCTAATGTACTACTGTTTTTTATTTTTTGAAAATTTAAATATTTAGTCGTTTAGTGATCTTAGTATTTGATTAAGAAACAATTTTCTTAAAGAGAATATATGAGATGATTATTGTTATTATAGGTTGTAAAAATGTACTTCCATCACAGTTTTCTTCCCATTCAGTAGTGAAAATGCAACATTTTGATATGTTAAGAGTTTCAGTATTTCATTGTTATAGTAACAACAGAGTTTTGATCCATAATAAGAAAAGATTGATAAAAAGAAGTTATGTGATTATTCGACATTTCGACTGATTTTTAATTGATTATCATTTTACTGGAAACAACATATTGCTCAGGCGGTATTGACGTTTATTCGTTCAGAGTTCAGTTAATTAAAGAGCTTGATTTCATTGCAACATGGTTTTGTCTGAACATTCTTATTTAAAATATACTATTCGTAAACGTGCATGGGAAGGGTTAACCGAAGTCAATGAATAAGGCCTATTTTTATCATCCTATTAGTTAATTAATTAATTGGAATCACATCACAAAGTGTATTTTTAAATTTTTCTTACCACTATTATTTATAGAAAGTTCGCCAAAATGAAATATTTTAAGTTGTATACTTACCTGTCTGTAACGTAATTTAAGAAGACAATATTTTCTATTACTGAAATTGATTGCGTTTTAATCGCACAGATAGCTACTACAATTCCTTTTGGTTATATATTGTATCAACCCCAAAATTGTACTCGGTTATGCGCTTGGTGATCTGAAACGATCGGTGACACTTTTTAAGGATAGAATGTATTAGTGTACTGAAGTTTACCAGTGAATACTGGTAGACATCTTTCTTCGTACATAGTAAAATTCTGTCATACTTGCCATACATTCGGATAAAAGTTCGAATGGATGAATATTTGCAAGATAGTGATTTCAGGAAGAAGTGGCAAATTTTTTGTTTAATTTACCAAAAGTTTTACTGTTATATAGAGTTGACAGTTATTGTTAATAGTTTTACAGGAATTTCATACCAGATGATAGTGTTATATTATTAAATCTTAATTTACTGTCAATCTTTTTATAAAGTGGTAACAGAACCACTGATTAGACAATAAACTTGTTTGAATTCGATAGCAATTGTTATGGACCGTACAAAACCGAACAGTTTTACCACTAGTTACTTATGAGTGCATCTCTGACTAACCTGAACATGGTTTATGTCGCCCGTACACTACATATATCTTCTTCTTCTTCTCTATTTACAAACAAATCTGATAATTTGTTATTCTACACAAATAAAGAATTGGCCACTAACGTTTATTTATCACACCTGAATGTAAATATACATAAAGATATTATGGTTATGCTCTTGTGAAATTTATTTTACAAAGTACGAAAAGATAATAAAACTTCTGATAGAAATAGAAGATGATAGTCTAGCTTAGATCAACACATGAACTCAACTAGAAATAAAAAAGTCAATCACAAAACGAAGTTATTCTTAATTACTATATGATCTTTATAGAGTTAAGATAATTTACAAATTATTTTACCGAGGTATGTTTTTTTTCTACTGAATGTTACGTAGTTCTTTTTTCCAAATTCTTTGTTCTTATGTACTTATCAATCAAATGGTTTGCTCACAGTTGTACATAATGTTATATGCTCTGCTACCAAGTTGTTACAACGATTACTTGAGTTCGTGCCCAGTTGATATATATGAACGTGCTGATTCCCGCCAATGAAAGAGTGAATTATCGATCGGATCAATAATACACAATAGCCGTATGAGCAGTCTTGAGTACTTATCGGTCCTGCTTTCTTCCTAGCCCAGTCAGTTAAGTTCAGAACACCAATAACAGCCTCTGAAATATGAATCATCATTCTCAAACATACTGGGTTTATATACCAAACAAACTGACCACATCGTACCGTAAAATAGAAAATAACGTTTGTACAAGATTTGACCAAATGTGGCCGTGAATAGGGGGAACAGTAATCAATAGACTGCAGATAACTCAAGAATGGTAAATCGTATAATAATAGTCCATAGATCAAAATAAAGCTTATAATAAGAGGGATTCGAATATGAACAGTTTAGTTATTTAACAATTATACAATAGGAAATATACGTATAGTATTGATCCATACATGGATCGAAAAAGTTACGATTCATAAATCTTCACGAGATATAACACATAATCTTTAGCATTTATTTTTATGAAAAGTTTATTTACTGTTATTTGTTGTAAAATAAATTTGTCACTGTTTAGACCACAGTAAACATTTATTTATTTATTTATTATTGTTTTTTTAATTCCCTTGTTTTCCTTTCTTAGCGCTTTCTTGTAGACTCAGGTTATCCAAAAACAACTAGAAGTCGTCAAGGTTCAATCATGATTTAAATAAAACTGTATTTTATTTTCTTAGCATAATAATAACAACAACAATAATCATAAATGAATAAGTTTACTGATTATTTTTACTGTTATACTATAACATTTAGTGTAACATAATGTAAAATTATACAGCATAATAATACTTTCTACATGTCAGTAATATTTTGTATCACATTAGTTTTTCATTGTTGCTTTTCGTTTTCCTTTTATTTTGTGATTTTATTCATTGGTATAGTCTACATTCCTAATTAGCTTTTTTGTTAGTTTTTTTTAAAAACCGAGCACAATATCTTTACTATCATTAAGAATATAATTGATTTTATTGAGTATTTTATCTCCTTTCAAATTATGTCATGTTCAAGCTTTCAATATCAAGTTTAATTATAATATGATGTATATATATATATATATATATATATATATATATATATATGATGAAAATATAGCAAATAATAAGCTGTCATAATTGAATGATTTTATTATCTATAAAACTATTTTGTTTGATTATATCACCTAATCTTGTATTTGATTGACTTAAATATTTTGTATCAACAATTTCATAAAATGAAAGTGTTTGTTGATTGATCATTTAAAGTTTTTAAACTTTTTACCCAAGTTTAAAGTATCTAGAATCCTTACTTGAATATCTGTATGTTTTCTTAGAATTTTGGATTACCACACATTGTTTGGGACTTCTATCACAATAAAATTTATTATATGAGACTATTAAAAAGAATATTTATTAATAAAAAGTACGTCTTTAATGCCTGATATTGTCAGTAATTGATTTGTATATATTAGTTTAACAAATAATTGTTGTAATTTCATTGAAGTGTACCTCTTTCATTGAATGACTTACCTGATTCTAACTATTTAGTATTGAAGCATTATTTTACATTCATTAACAAGAACGTCGTATTATTGGCAGAAGCCACGCTCATGAAATATCTGAATTTGTTAACTAACTTTCTTAAAGCTTAAATTGTGTGTATCATATTACAATTTTATATTAAATTCATGTTTAATCAGGTTTAGTCATTGGTAATGAAGATACGACTGGTATTCTAATTTTACAACTAGCAACCAGTAACACCTATATTCGAAGCTTTCCCCAACCAATCGAAATCAGAAGTCAGATGCGAAGAGGTAGGAAAGATATGTTTGATACGTTATCAATGTATCGAGAAGCGTTTGCTCTAATCTGGCTAGTGAACGTAGGAGCTGTGTCCTACGCTGGTTCGTAACGTGGTCTGGTACGGATTCATGACCGAAAGCCTTCAGTTGAACAAGTCCACTTAAAACAATGTGGTCAGCATCCAATGTCGAACACTTACAGAGCTATTGATTTTGGGGATTTATTTACAGCTACAGTAATCTGGACGATCATGTGTATGAGTTATGCAACAGAGTTATATTTTTAGAACTTGCTGTTATTTAGCTTATACCGTTTGACATTTAAAATGGTTCTTAAAAAGTAGTCAAATGTGTTTTAAGGAAAACAATAACTGTATTTCCAGCATATCAAGTAAATTAACTAGTTCTGAGAAAAATTTCACTAAATAGAGGACCTGCTGGGAGCCTTAGGTCATAACACTGTTATTCAAAATTATCTGAAAGCAACCACTGTTAGCTAGCTTTATACGTCTAACAGGTTAGTGAGATCTTATTTCCGATTCGTTCTGGACTAAGTATCTTCAATTAGATACCTAAAGAGTTGACTTCTCCAGAACAATTGGATTTGAGAGAAACATAGTAAACGTCAGTAGTGTATGATCATGAAATCAGTTGTTTGGTTTCTTAATTTATAAGGCTGAAAAAACAAATCGTAAGGGTAGTGAAGTTATCCTGTGTCTGAGAAGCACACAAGCTATATCAACTGTCAAGACAGTGGCGCATGATTCAAAGGCATATGAACTGGTACGTTGCAGGCTGAAATGTAAAGGGCGAGACATTGAATTAGTTGTAATACATCGCATTCCAAAATTTATACTGGCTAACTTCTTCCTAAGTAAACATAAATCTTGATGAAAAACGTGTGAAAATCTCACAGTAGGTGATTGTAATGCACCATCCATAAATTGGGGAAACTTAGAAGTAGGGTCATAAAGAACACCGTCTGAATACAAGTTGTTAAAAATCAAAATGGCCCTAGCTTCATTTCAGCACATCAGAGATCAAGCCAAATATGATCTGTCTTGCACCCAGTCTTCACATACGGTGATGTTAGCCAAATACAGTTCCTCCACCTATAGAAAGAAATGATAATGCGGTCATTGTATTCAAAATCATGGTTGATATGGTCTTTCAAGCAGTTGTGCCGGTTCATCCTGTAGCGGTAAATAAACCCCCAAAATCAATAGCTCTATAACTGTTCGACATTGGATGCTGACCACATTGGTTCTAATGAACGCACCTAGCTGAAGGCGCTCAGTCATGTATCTGCACCGGATCACGAGTGCGAACTCCGTGCTCAGTCTCTCCTGCGATCACTAGCCAGTTTAGATCAGTCGATCCACTATATATTAATAATCTATCAAATATATCTTCGAACCTCGTCGCTTTTGTCTTTTGATTTCACTTGGTGGGCACGATTCAATTATAGAAGGTGTTTCTGGTAAAGTGTTTTCAAACTACAATACCTGTGACATCTTCAGTCCCTATATAGGGAAAGAAGATATGAAGGTGAACAACTCTGCAACCTCAGATGAAAACCGGAAAATTGACTCGGGAGCATCAGTAAGAGAGTTGAATTCATTTGCGGCAGATATTCAATCAGGTAATTCAACCATTTAAGTCATGTACAGTCTCGAAGAAGAATAACTACGGACATCAATGTGTAAACCATGTGCTTCACCATTTAATAAAACAAAAAAAGGAATGTTCGAACGTCGCCACTAAATTTAGCATTGCAAGTGTGATAAAACTTCACAGGTCGGTTCAAAATAAGCGTGTAAACATAATTGAGCAAATCAGCGAATAAGGCAAACGACTAATATTACTGGGTGGATATCATATATTGTTAAGTCGGCTTACAGTAAACTCCGTCAGAGCCTCCAGAGGCTCATAAAAAGCCCAACCAATCAGCGGTTAGTCAGAAGCCATGTTACTAAAATAACGAGATCCTGATTGGTTGTTTAACATATTGCTACTATGGAAACTCAAGGTCTTTTAATTACTATAAAACCCCTGTTTTTCTGTACATAAATGTACCTTGCAGCAAAGTACTTCTCTCATACTCGTGTCTTCTCTCTGGTCTTCAAGTCGTTGAATAGTTCTAGCCTGGGGTTATCAGAATAGCTTAGGATCTGAATATAGCGTTCAACCTACAAGATGTAACATATATGATCCATCCAAACTTCATGACACAACCTGGTTGGTTGATTGCACATCCTTGCTTAGTCACAAAACCATCCCCTGAGGTTATCAGCACTTGTATCCCACTCAATCGTAACCTGAAAACAGTTACACCAAAAAGTCTAAAGGGCAAGCAATGTTTAATAGAGTGACTGCTCTGATTTGTTTAACTTGTAGTGACATCGAGTCGAGGACGGACTATGATCACTGCTACAATTTGATTACGCGCCCAGATACGACTTGGTTCCTTTGATTATTCGCAAACCAGAAGGCTTTAATTAGTCCAGATAAAGTATATTTATTGGCGATCTCGTGGTATCGAAAAAATACCGAGACGTGCCAACGAGTACAGTCAAAATGGGCAGAGCGTAAGAAAGTTCGAACCAAACAAGGCGGGTAGCGGAACAAGAAGTGAATCTGATACAGTTAAACAAGTTCAGTAAAACAATCGCTGATACAATTGGTTACAATAATAATAATTGTTTCTTTTATTCCAATCGTGTTCTTATCGAGACAAGCCGGTCACTACACACTACTGATCTACTTCACTATTCTGTCAGTGACTATGCAAGCACCAACCATGTTCCAAAGTACGAACGCAGACAAATCTAACGTATACGTGTCGCCTGATGGCAACATCATACGACCGAACAAGCTTCATTAGTTTCAATGCTAATCTTTATTTACAAGCGGTTTGGTAGATACATAACTGGACTAATATTTTTAGGGGGATTTTCCGTGGCATCTCTCCACTCTTCTTTACTCTCAGTCGTAAAGCAGGCTCAGAGGTCTTGTCATGTATGAAGAGGATGAACTCGAACTGCTGCCTACAATTAGTCCTAATAATCGATAGCTGACCAAAGTGTTCAATTGAACTTGAAGTGAAAGTTAGTAATAAAACTTTCTGTTTGTTTTGTCAAACGATCCATAAGTGTAAGAAGATAATAGTAGTTGTCCGAATGTGTGTGGCGTTTGTATAAACTAATGATTTTTTATACTTGATTTCTGGGTGATTTCGAATTCTAAATACCATAATTTCGTTTGTGCTAACGTAGTTCTGTTCGGTCTAAATGTCACTGTTTCGGGAATTCCCAGTTAACACAATAATTCAAATACTTCTAATAATCATGTTGACATCGCGATTGAGTCAAACCCTGGACAGTTGTATATCGACTGAAATGAGGAATATTTCGAAGATCACATGGAGCGGTTCGAAATCTTGTGCATAAATAGAAAACATATTAAAGATGATAAATTCATAGCTCATATTCTGATGTTCGTTGGCAAAGAAGCTTATAATCTGCTAAAGAATCCAGCTTTTCCAGAGGATCCAATTTTATTGTCATATGAATCTCTCAGAGAATTACTACTTAGTCATGTACAGTGTGCCAGCTTTGAACGAGGAGACTGAAGCTCCATAAATGATGCGGCAAAACGATCAGAAAGTTGAATGCTTTACACGTGAACTAAAGAAACAAACCGCGAAGTACAAGTCAGGCAACCGATTAGAGACTCAACTTTGTGATTGGTTGATTGCTGGGATAAATATTCCAAATTCAGAAAAAGAACTAATTTGGAATCCTAAACGTTTGTTCTAAGAAATTAAAATAATATGTGTTAATTATGACACAGTGAGTGAACTTGATTTTCAGTCAGGGAAAATTTATAATATTTTATTCATTCATCACTACATTCTCAGTGTCGCTCAAGCTCGTTTTTGTCTAATAATGGTTCCCATCCTCATGGAAACATGAAAAAAATGATTCAAAAAAGAAGTGCAGAGCATCTTACAGAGGTGAGCACATGTTTGGAAAATGATTATCCTGTGGTAAACGTCTTTTACGTAATCCGTGTCTTTCGTCATGGTACGCTTTAAGTGTGGTAAAGTTGGTCACATCCACGGTTTATAAAACTACTGTTTGTTTCTCCTCAAGTAATACTAAACTTCGTAGTTCGGATCTGAATAATTTTGCCAAATGTAACAATCATTTTTCTATCTTTAATTACAAATTCGATTGAGTCACTTTATATTCAAAAACGATTATATTTGTCCGGTGG